GTTTGCTCCAACAATGCATTTTAATGCAAAATTTTAAGTTTAATGTGTAAAAGTGCAGTTCAGGTTGTACTTGTGCAGGATAACAAATATTGTCATTTTGTGTTGCCAACTGACATTTTGCGAGAAAAATCCCCTAACTAACAACGACCACAAAACAATTAAAAAAACCTAAATAAAAGTTAAAATCGAGAAAATAGTATAAATCACACGTTGCAGAAGGCTATTCTCGCACTCATTCGTTCGTCCACTCGCTCCTTCGTCGCTCGAGGCCAAATTTCGAATTCGTGCGAGAATATGTGGCCTTCTGCAACTTGTACTTTAATATACTATTCTCTCGCTGCACGAGACGAGACGAGAGAAGGACTTTTCTCCTTAAATTTTGGTTAAAGTTATATCCGGACCTACCCAGGTAGCACACTGACGTCAGCTGACATTTAAATGTCATTTAAACGTCAGCAGACGACATTTAAACGTCAGACGTACGTCAGTGTGCTACCTGGGTACGTTTAAAAGAACTTTTTTTTATATAATTTTTGTATGAAGAATCTCCAGCCAAGTATTGGCGAATGCTTTCGAAACACCCTTTACAATACAACTATAGTTATAATTATACATTTTTAGAAAGTGTTGAAAAAACTTCTGATTCTGCCAGTACAACCAAATTGAGGAACACATTGGAATATGGCTAAGAAAGGCACAGCGAAGAATCATACCGACTAACTAATAATTAAAATAACCGGAAATGCAGCCAAAGATGTGTGAAAAGTGTTTTTAAATATTTTTTCTACTCCCACCTTTAAAACGCCCTTTATCGTACATGTTTCCATGACACTTTAGTCACGGGCTGAAGTTAGTTTTAAGTTAGTTGATAGTTGTCAAATCATTTGACTCAAATGTCATAAAATCGTTAAAATAAAGTGCCTTTCTTGTAAAATAATACTAAATGTGAAAATTATTTTATTATCACAATACAAAAATATTAAATAGTTTCTCAACGCCAATATTTATATGACCTTTTAATTTCGCCGGCAGTAAACTATAACTTAAATTCGGGCACGGACTCTACTGTAAAGTTCTCATAAAACATTTCCTTTAATTTCACTGTGAAACACTGTCAATTTTCAAGATACAATTCGATTTATAACCTTTATAATTTTGTTTATAAAATGTAAAAATGTGACATTTGACAGTTTCCCCTGTTGTTTCATAGATGGCGCTCTATACAAATTTTTGATTTAAATCATTTTAAGATAATAATAAGTATTTATCGTAGAAAAAGTATAGTATGCACCTCGTTTATAAACTTTTCTATACACTCATTAATTTAAGCACTCGCTCGCAAGCTCGCACGTGCCTAAATTAAATTCGTGTATAAAATGGCGTTTATCAAACTTGATACATAATATACTATTATATTTTTTTTGTGTTATGTTTTTACTTGTATCTAAATACAGTGTTTTAATCAATTTTAGTATATTTTTTTTATCTAACTATCAGGAATATTCCTGATGAAGGCTTTAAAATAATTATAAAATAATCCACAATAAATTTGAGGAATATTCCCATAAACATGGCCAGGAGCTTCCGCGGAGCGGAAATTTTATAATATTCCGGGAATATTCTAGAAATTTTAGAATAACTGGAATAACATAAGAATGCTACTTTGCGGTGTGGGTACGCTTGTTGCGTAGGTACGAATAAAAAAGAAGAGAAGATGGATAGACGGATGGACAGTTGGATTTTATTAGAAGGCGGCATAGGCGGCCTTGAATCCTAGTTGAGCTCAGCAAGTCTTAATTTTTTCAGTTTCCATTTTCAGAGGGTACTCACCAGTTGACTTGTACAAGCACAGCACAGTTTCCAACTGAAATATATTTCGACGAAAATATGGAAACCGATAAAATTACGGGTAACCCACTTTTGCAGTACTTGGCTACTGCCTCAGGTATGTTTTTTTATTTTTATTAATTTACTTTGTAAAATTTTTAATTTTTATGTATGTAGGTTAGGGTGGCCCAAAAAAAAAAGAATATCTTTTTTTTTCTCGTCTCTTGTAAAAATATGTTAGTTTATCAGGCTGTAAGAGCCCTGTCAAAATATCAGCTCGATTAAAAAATTTTTAGGGGTCGCTCAAGATTTTTTAAAATTTTCAAAATCGTCAAAAATTGAATTTTTGTTTTATTTTAATTTTTTTTCTTGTCTCGATATTATTTTTTTGGTAGAAAATAATAAAAATTTTGAAAATATAAAGTCAATATTTTAATTTCTAGAGGTCGCTCGAAAACATTCAAAATATTCTACTTAGAAAGTTAAAAAAATCTTGAGCGACCTTAAAAAATTAAAATTAAAAAATAATATCGGAACGAGAAAAAAAATTAAAATAAAAAAAAATCCAATTTTTGACGATTTTGGAAATTTTTAAAAATCTTGAGCGACCCCTAAAAATTTTTTAATGGAGATGATCTGTTGACAGGGCTCTTAAAACATGACAAACCAACATATTTTCACAAGAGACAAGAGAAAAAAAATATTCTTATTTTTTTGGGCCACCCTAATGTAGGTACATATATATTTTAAAATTATTTTAAAAGATTGCAAATCCTAATAATGTAATTCAATGAATAAGAAAAATCGTTTAATCCCAGTCGAATAATTCACAAAATCATTTATTTGGAAAACAGATATTAACATTTAAAAAAATATGAAAAATCTATAATTACATTAAATTATTTTTCCTTTAAGTACCTACATTTTTTAGAAAGATGTTTGAGATTTTCTTAAACAAATTAATTTTGTGGCTTGTCACGTTTTTCCTTTGAAAATGCATAATTTGTATGCATGCGGGTATTCGATTCAACAGTTGGATAAGTATATTAAAAAAATACTCTAAACTGCCGATCATCATGCTCTTTGTGTTATCTACAAGCACCATCACTATTTTACGTATCATGTTTAAAATAAATATCTACGCCTCAATTTGACATTATAACTTAAACTATTAACAACTAATTTCAAGTTTTTATTAATCCTAAATATATACTTAATATGTAAATATGCATATTTATGTAAGTATTGGTCAAACTGGATTTAATAACTTTTGCCAAACATAAATTTAAATAACTTTATTTATAATAAGGAATTTCCTTTAAATTTGAAATTTTTAAGTGATTTTTTTCAAAACGTCAATTTAACACAGATAAGTTAATCATTCAAAAAATAAACTTACAAATTTGATATGCAGTTTTTGGAAATGATTTAATTTAATTTAATAATAAAAATTCATAAGAATAATACTTTATATTGTTTTTTTTTCAATACAATTTTTGACTTTGCTCTACAATCATTTAAAGCGGATACTATTTAAAAATCACCTTAAAAATGCTTTCAAGGACTGTAAATTATCAAATTATCATATTTATATTTCAGGCACTTTGGCCATAGTATCCGATGGCATGCACTATGGCTGGCCGTCTCCATCCCTCCCCCAACTGGTAAACAGCACCAACCACACCTCCTCGATTTCGATCTCATCCGAAGCGGGATCATGGATGGCCGTGATACCGCTGATAGGTTCCGTAGTGGGCGCTCTTACAGCCGCCTCGATTGTGGACCGTTTGGGCAGAAAGAAAACCATCATAGCCACCTCCGTTCCTTTCTTTCTCGCCTGGATGCTTATAGCTTTCGCCAGCTCCGCCATTGAGCTGAACGTTGCCAGGTTTACAGCCGGTGCTGCCGGTGGTGTCACTTTTACGGCGGTACCGATGTATGTCGTAGAAATATCGGATCCGAAAGTGAGAGGGTTGCTGGGTTCGAGTTGTTCAGTAACCTGGATCATAGGGATTTTATTAATCAACATAATCGGATCGTATTTGAGCATCTTCTGGACCGCCATCGTGTCTTCGTTCATCCCCCTCATAGCCTGCGTAACTTTTGTATGGATGCCCGAGAGTCCGTATTACCTGCTGATGAGAGACCGCGAGGCGGACGCCAAAGAAAGTTTAAGAAAATTCCATAAGGTGCAGGATGTGGACGACGAAATCCTGCGGATAAAAGAGTCGCTTGAAACGCAAAAAAAAAGACGGCAGCGGTAGATTCTTCGATCTCTTCACCGTCAAGAGTAACAGAAGGGCGGTTTTTATAATCGCGGGGCTCAGAGGTTTCCAGCAATTCAGCGGCACCACCGCAATCATTTTTTACACGCAGGAAATCTTCAAGCAAGCCGGCGATGTCGTTTCCCCGCATCACGCGTCCATGATTTACTTCTCAGTCCAACTCCTCGTCACAATCATATCCTCTGGAATCGTGGATAAAGCCGGAAGAAGACCTCTTCTAATCATCTCAATGGCAGGTTCCGCATTCGCCTTATTCTTGGAAGGCACGTACTTCTACGTGAAGACTGAAACTCGCATCAACATAAGTTCCTATAGTTTTATGCCAGTCGTCGTTCTCATAGCGTTTGTGACCATTTTCAGTATCGGTATGCAGTCCATCCCGATTCTGATGCTGGGCGAATTATTCCCGACCAGCGTGAAAGCCTTCGCCCTGTGTTTGGCTGAGCTCTATTTTAGCGTGGTCGCCACCATTGCCAGCAAGTTCTTGCAAATCATGAAAGACAATTATGGGATGTACTGTGCCTTCTACGGGTTTAGTATTTGTTCGGTTTTCGGCTTGGTTTTCATTTTGTTGTGCGTTCCGGAAACCAAGGGGAAAAATTTGGAGGAAATTCAAAATTATCTTCGCGGAGAAGAGCCCAAAAAATATGTAGATAACGACTGCACCAAGTTGTAAGATGTTGCTATTTTAATAATAATTTTTATTTACTACTTGTACCTATTTATTTCTTAAGTTCAATTTCACTGAATAAAAAATGTATTACCAAAGTACAATCGGAGTTTTCTCCTTTCTTGGATTCAACAGGTGTAGATTATTTTCTCACGACAATTTACATGAATCATACTTTTATATTTAATCAATTATATGATATGGTATAAAAGGGAAATAAAATTCAGTAAACATTAAAATCAACATTTATTTAACATACATACAAAAAGTTGAAAATCAATTTGATTTTTCCACTTTCTCTTTCATGTGTTGCTGACTTTTAGCGATAAAATTAATAATACAATCATTACCAGAATATGTTTTATAAACAGTATCTAAAACGTTTCTTGTGGCCAAAACATCACAAACTTCCTTTTGACTTAAAGCTAACCTAACTGCTTCTTCCTTTGATAAAATATCCAGATCTTTTCTCGGTATTTTAATACAACAATTCTCATGACCATTTACCTATAATTAAACATTTAATTCATTGAATATAAAATCAAAATTTGGTTTTAATGTCCTTACTTGACATATCAATTCCAGCTTGTAGTCCATATCGGTCTCCGGCCATTTTTGCTCCAAAACCGGTCGATCCCAAAACAACTCTCCGTCAGAAATCCTATTCGGAGCAGAGAGAAATCCTGCCCACAATTCAGAGGCAAAATACGGGGCCATAGGGGCCAGCAAAATTATTTGCGCAGCGAGCGCCCTCTCGAATTGCAAACTATGTGCGAAAACTGCAGGAGGGGCCCTCTGAAACAATTACAACGTTACGGTCCTGCCCATGTGTTACAATGTTGCGAGATTTACTTTCCTTCCGAAATGAGGTACAGTCAGGGAAAATAGCAAGGCAGTTTTTAACTTTATAAACATTATTGGACAATTTTGGGATAGTTTTGCACTTTTTAATTTTATAAACTTAATTGAAATGGTTATATACTAATTTTTGTAGATTAAAATTTATTTCTAATTAGAGATGAAACTTGAAAAAACATCCATTTTTTTCACTGCTTTTTTACATTTTATGTTTTTTTAACTTTCCTTTATTAACGCAATCAATACATTAAAAACATTTTTTTAAGGTCAAACGTTTACAACTATTAATTTTTTAGGAAACATAACTTAATATTCAAGCATGATTTTTAAAGAAAAACCTTTAACCAAAGTCCAGTTCTTGAAATTATTTTTAAAAGCTCAAAATTGGAATGAATGTTAATTATGGACAATTATACTTTATTGTGAATTATTGTAGCTGTTTTAAAAAAAAATCAAACGTTGTTGGAAATTATATAGTAATTGGACACATGGACCATAGTTATTGGACATACAATTTTTATGTAAACATCAAATAACATAAATTGTTAAATATTTTTTTAAAGATAAATTGATGTTTTAGGTAATTTTTTTTATTTCGTTTTTGTAAATATCATATAATTCATATATTTATTTCTCGGATTTCTCAACCCTTTTCTGGATTCTGAAGGGTACTACTAATTCCCAGGGCTGGCAAATATCGTGATATTTATATAAATATCCAAATATCGCATATATATCGATATATATCGATATATATCCGATATACAAAATTTGGATATTTATTTCTTTTTTATTATAACTATTTTCTGCTTAGAGAATTAAAGATATATGTCAAAATTACTTAATTTAATATAGGTAATTAAAATTTTATAAACATGTAAATTTGTATTTCAATTCTATTCTATTCAATGAAAGTTGCTATCACAATAACAAGTTTTTTTAATTCTAGCAATTTTTCTTGGGAAAAAAACAGGGTTTTTCCGACACTCAATTTTTCCGGAAATTTTAAATTTTTATCATTACTAATGATTCATTAGTGATGAATAAAATTTTAGAAAAAAAAATTTGATATATATCATCGCATAAATATCGGATATTTATCAAGATATATATCAGGATATTTATCACTGATATATATCCTGCCAACCTTGCTAATTCCTTAGTCTGACTTCTGAAATAGTTTGTTGCAAATATCATTTGGTATCAAGTGTGGTATCTCTAGTTTGGGAAGCATTTATAATGTTTAGGCCGGAACAGGATGACATATATATATATATATATATATATGAGGCATTCCATGTCAACTCGGCCACCCCCTCCTGTGCAAAATTGACTGAAGTTTTTCGAAACGTGCAACTGATTAATTTTTAGCTTATCATCTTAACTTTCAAATGCCGAGTGGTATTTTGTAAAATTTCAAAATGGCGGTGTCAATATAGTGACTGCAAGCAATATACATCACTTTAAAAAAACCGTATTAGGTAGTTTACATTAACTAACAGCGTTATAAAATTAAAAATTGAATTTGATTATATGCACTAATCTATTATCAGTGATTCTATGTTTTTTTTACCGCTGATTACACAATGGTTCGCCCCTAACCCCCAAAAAAAACTTAAAAAGCAGTTTTGTGAAATTTCCAGCCCCTAAATGCATTTTTGATACATATTTTTGCTAGTGTTGGGATCGCTCGAGTGAAAAAACCGCTCGAGTACTCGATTATTGAAATAACCGACATCACTCGATTATTGAAACGACTACTCGAGTTATAAATTCAAGCGAAAATCTTCGCTTAAAATCTACCGAGCACCGAATTAGGTATATTTCTGTAATTTATATTTTATAATAAAATTTTTATTTGGTTGAAATTGCACTTTAGTTTAAAAAGTTAGATTTTTTGTCAATTATGTTTACAATTATTAAAAAGTAAATCGGCGATATCCATCGCTTGTCTCTTGTTTTATTAACGAGCCGCGAATCACATGACACCTAAACGTAAGTGAAAAATTGCTCGGATTATTGCGAGTGATGCAAGCTGCAAGCGATCTACCCGAGTATGAATGCATTCATTAATTGAATTGAAATTTCGAGTGATAAATCGCTCGGGCGATCGCTCGATTATTGAAATCGCTCGAGTATCGAGTACTCGATTATTAAAAATTATCGGTTTTTCCCAACACTAATTTTTGCATTTGTTTTTTGTATTTCTCATTGCCTAATATAAATATGGCCTTACCTCAGCAAGGCATAAAACTGTACGTTCCTAACCTAAAAGAACTCTCATAAAATGTATTTTTACCTTCTTTATAGCTGTTTAAAGCATTTTTAAGATTGGCATGAGGTTAAATTTTTATACTTTTTATCGCCAAGTACGTAAATAATCCAACTATAAATTGCAGACTAAGCAGTTTACCCCTAACCTTAAAAATATTTTCTAAAAACTAGTTTTCTGCAGATACACATGCTGAAGAAAATTGAAATATGGGATGTACAGATTTATTTCCACACTTTTTATCGCTAAATACGATTATAATCTTTCTTTGACGGCAATTCTTCGTTAACCTATAAAACTTTGCATAAATCGTAGGTTAAAAATATTTTTTATATAGTAGTTTACAAAAAAAAAGTTTATATACAAAAGTGCTCTTTTAGTTCCACCCTTACTTCTTAAGAAGTCCCATAAGCCAACTGAATGGCTTGTGCGGGTTAGGGGTAGGAACGGACCGCGGACCTAAAGTCCCCTCCAAAGGACTATTACACAATAGGACAAACACATAAGAATATGCTAAAATTGTAATAATCTACATCTACCGATAATTAAATTCGTACCAAAAATAATATTCTTTTGTGGTATTACCAAATAAAAATGTACTCTTAAAAAAGTATTCGAATACTCCAAATGGCTCCGAATTTAATTATCGTTAGAATTTGATATAGATAATTACAAATTCAGCATATTGTTATGTAATAACTACTATATATAGTAAATATAGTAAATATTTTTAACCTATCATTTAAACCTCATTTTTATTGCATAGGTAGGATGCAAAGTTTTTTTAGGTTAACAAAGAACTGCCTTCAAAGATCAGAAACATTTTTAGCGATAAAAGTGTGGAAATAAATCTATAAATCCCATATTTCAATTTTCTTTAGCGCCTGTATACTGCAGAAAACTAATTTGTAGAGAATATTTTTAAGGTTAGGGGTAAACTGGTTTGTGTGCAGTAAATAGTTGGATTATTTACGTACTTGGCGATAAAAAGTATAAAAATGTAACCTTATGCCAATCTTTAAAATGCTTTAAACAGCTGTAAAGAAGGTAAAAATACATTTTTTGAGAGTTCTTTTAGGTTAGGAACGTACGTTTTATGTCGACTCTGATGTAAGGCCATATTTATATTAGGCAATGAGAAAAAAACAAATGCTAAACCATCTATCAAAATTACGAGAAACTGCTTTTTAAGTTTTTTTTGAGGTTAGGGGCGAACCATTGTGTAATCAGCGGTAAAAAATAGATAGAATCACTGATAATAGATCAGTGCATGAAATAAAATTCAATTTTTAATTTTATAAAGTTGTTAGTTAATGTAAACTACGTATTACGGATTTTTTAAAGTGATGCCTATTGCTTGCAGTCGCTATATTGACACCGCCATTTTGAAATTTTACAAAATACCACTCGGCATTTAAAAGTTAAGACGATAAGCTAAAAATTCATCACTTGCATGTTTCGAAAAACTTTAGTCAATTTTGCACAGGAGGGGGTGGCCGAGTTGACATGGAATGCCTCATATATATATATATATATATATATATATATATATATATATATCTAATACTTTTTTGGGTGATGTGAAAAAGTATTTTCCAAATTTATTAATTTTGTTGCCATTAGTTTTTTATGTACTCTATCACTGCACTGTATTTAATTCACTGTTATTCTGCAAGATGTCCTGTGACGAATAAATCACTATATTATTTACTCTCTAAAAATGAATTAGCCATAATAATTTTCATCAACAGCAATTTGTATCCTGGACATTTAGCAGTCAATTCCTATGAAATATTATTCGCTGAATCCAAAAATGTCGTCAAATGTTATAAAATTAGAACAGTTTTTGAAATATAATCAATTTTATTTTATTTTATATGGAATTGACTATATCTCAAAAACTGCTCAACTTTTATAGTAGCCTTTTTGGATTCAGTGGACAATTTTACATAAGAATTGGCTGGTAAATGCCAGGGATATAAATAGAGTATGATATTGGACATATGTCCAATAATAGAAATTTAGATTTTTTACCAACCAGTAACTGGACACTGGCCATTTTACTGTTTGTTTTCAGAATTAAAAATAAAAAGCTTTAAAGTGACAATGTTTAAACCATGAGAAACACATTTATATCACACACTGATCTGTACACTTTTTAGAAATATTTTTTATTGTAACTTAAACACAGCCCTGCTCTTAACAAAAAAACAAAAATCTTACCACCAAAGTAACGTAGGACCCAAAATAAAGTAGTTCTATATTATTACCGACTGAGATAGTTATAATTGTATACAGCGTCATCTAATTATTTGACTATTTAACTATTTATAGAACTCTTGTTTTTACAATATTAATGTTAATTGTCCAATAACTATATAAGTTTTTAAGTTCCAGATATATATTTTAAAGTTTTAAAAAACGAATTTATGTTTTTGATTTTTGCAATTTGGGTTAAGATTGCTTTGATATTTTCTTTGCTTTGTTTTTTTTATTTATAATTGTTCAGTAAGGCTTTCGGCCATTTTAAAAAAGGTCAACGCGTATTCGTATTACACAGATGAGCCGCCACTGACTTCACGCATGCAGCCGTTGTCATAGCAACCGACTTGTTTACGTTGTATACAAGGGTCGAGTCATATGTTTTCTGGACACGGTGTGTGTCAAAAGTGTGTGACATAATATACATTCAAACATAAAATGGAAATAATAGTCGAACCGAACAATGGAGAGAAAGTAATTAAAAAGTTGTATCAGCAAAAAGCGCCCGTCAACGGCCTTATTTTAGGCGTGATACAGAAGAAAGATGTCAAGATTAGGGGGTGTGCAAGAGATACAAAAAGATTCCTGCAGTGTTGTTTTAACAATCAAGGAAATTTGTTCGCGTGTCGAAGCAACACAGGCGATATTTACGTGGTGGATTTATTTTTGAACACTTACTGGTTTTTGGGCAACGCTGAAAGCCCGACTTTGATTAAATTTTCGAGAAGCAAGGAGAACGAACTTTACGTCGCAAATAAATGCGGCGAAATCAACGTGATCAACGTAAACGGTGGAAACGTGATTGCCAGTCTTATAGGACACAGAAACCCCATAAAATTCATATCGTTTTCGAGCGAATTTTACTGCGTGACCACCTCCGATAGCGAAGGTATCATCTGGGATTTACGCGACAACACAAAAGTACAAATACTCAACTTAAACAAAGGCTTCAACCTGAATTTCCTGATGTTTCTCCCGCTTACAAACCACATACTTTCATGTTTATACAACGACACCATGCAGATTTGGCAGAACGGATCGTGGAAATACTTGAGCTCCATAAACTTGGAAGGCTGGAAGAACCACTCCATCAAAAACGTGGTTTTTACGAATAACGGTTTAACAGCTGTCATGGCTGGATATTTACCGAACTTTATATTGTACTCGCTAACATTCCAAAAGGTTACGAAAACTATAACACTGCCGGAATACATCTTATCGGTTAAAAAAATTAAAATGGCACCGTCGAACTTCGAGTGGAAATGCAATAAGACTCTAGTTATATTGTCGGGACAAGGGGTGGTTTATTTCTACGATTTGGAGTTTGAAAAGGTAACCGGAAAATTGGTGGGCGATTGCGAGATTGTAGAATTCAGTTTGTCCCCTAAAAGTTACTGCATGACCGTTATATTATCAACAGGAACAATTTTCCTTTACAACATATCGCAATACATAGAATCAGAAAAAAGTGCGCAATGTGCATGTCCAAAAGATGTAAAAAAACGCAAAATCAACCCGAAACCTTGCGGCATTAACATCGCAAACGTACAAAGCGAAATATGCTCGCTATTGCCGATGGACAAACTAAAACTGATTTTGAGGGAGTACGGGGAATACCCGAAACATCACAGGTTAATTATTTGGGAGCATATTCTACAACTCCCCAATAATTCCAAACAGTACAACAATATCATCAACCACATAACGCTAGTTTCATTTCCCGAACTAAACAAAACATATCCACTGATATCAGAACAAAATTTGAAAAATTTAAGGATTTTATTGAACAACTTGGTTACATGGTGTCCATTTTTTGCCAACGTCACATATTTGCCTGTATTTGTATTTCCCTTTCAAAGGGTCTTCCAAAATAAACCGATGCAATGTTTTGAGACAGCCGCAACAATAATATGTAAGTATTAAAAAGTATTGTAACTTGAATTTCACAACACTATATGGTGAAATAATTAATTCAAATGTTAGATAATATCATCCAAAATGTATATAACTTAATATGCCCCAGTACACTAGTACACTAGTACACTAATCAGCTGATTGTTTAAAGTTATCCAAAAAATATAAAATATTGTCAATGTTAGTTCTCTTAAAATTAAGACCAACTTTGACAGTATATATATTTTTTAATTTTAAACAATAATTATAATAATGGCACGCCATTTCACTTTTTAATCGTATATGTTTTAAGCGTAAAAGAAAATTGAAGTAGGTTTTTTAAAATTATAATAAATAATAATTGGGTTATTCTATAGAAACTATCATTTTTGCTGTTACTGGTCAAAATTTTAACTAAACAAATTATTTTCTACAATTGTATTTTTTTAAAGAAAGATATAGATTAACTAAATTGGCTTCCTAAAGAATATTTGAAAATATACTTAATATTATTAAGTTGTAGACAAAAATCTTGTTAAAATATGATTCCTCTGGCATGTTATAACTGGAGACGTCTAACATAAGAGAAAAAAAAATATTCATATTCTTTAATTGTAACTTTTTATTTTTGATTTCAGAACCCTGAAATATCAGTAAAACTAAGCTAAATATATATATTACTTTTAAACCACCTTTTTAAAAATATATAAAACCTGTTACCACCTTTAGAGCTCATTCCTCTGGTTTGTGTATGATACCTAAATATATGATCTTAAATGGCGGATAAGTCCGTGCACGCAACCAGAGATTCTTTTCCTAACCTAGTTCTTGCACTGAGCCAGCAAGCAAATATTTTCTGAAAAAAACAACACGTGTTTTTTTTTCAGTTTTGTTTTAAAATTGTTAATGTCACACACAGACAGATCATTTCTCTGGTAAATGTATTTTGTTTATTTATATTTTTATTGCATCCTTTATTTGATTTGAATACGAGATTATGGGTTTACTTTTCTGTAAACCAATTTGTTGGTTAGGGTTTGTTGTATTTTCTTCCCCCTTTGAAATAAACTAAGAAATCGTCATTCCTCTGGCACCATTCCTCTGGGATATTAAGACATTGTTGCCTCGTCATTCCTCTGAATATAATTTTAACAAAAACATCGCAAATCTGCTCAAAAAAATTAAACTGTTTGATCTTTCACTTTGCAGGGTTTATTTTAAACAAAAGGTCGTATTTGCATACTTAAAAAACACTATTTTCAAATTACTATATTAAAAATGATAGTTTCTGTATAATCACCCATTTAAATAAAATTATGTAAAGGTTAAATTTAATTCAAATTTAATGGAAACAGATAGGAAAAATAGCGAATTATTGTTATGTCTAGGGATAATAATAATTATCTCAAATTATATTTAGGCATAATAATAATTATTTTTTATGATACATTTTAATTTGATAAGCATTTTTTGTAACATTTAAATATTTTAAACAACGAATAATTTTAAACAATTTACATATAATTTTGTTAGTTGAATTAAAATTTAAGGTTGGTATGAGTTGGTATGAGGTTCTTTATTTTTTTACTTTGAAATTTATATTGGAATTATTGTGAGACTAAAAACCTTGTTGAACATTTTTTTTAACAAGATTTTTAAACTATTTTATTTTACTCTATTATTTTTTAAGTTGCAATGTCTTATTTATAACACGATTATTTTTATTTTACAATTAATTTTACAGTACACATAAAATTAATGTAATTAATTTTTATGTTACAATTAAAATTATGACTTTACATATGAAAAATTATAGAATTAATCTGTGCACATAAAATTATATAATTAATTTTATATCTACACATAAAATTAATTTGGCGCTTTGGGAATGCGGCAGGAAGTGGCAACTGCACTAGTTCTAATGCATGGTAGGTATATAGTATATGGGGCCAATATGAGGAGAGATTCGGGTTTTGTTATTCCATCTAGGTATATAATTATAGAAATTATTTCTATGTATAGGTATAATTCACAAAACTAGAAGGTTCTAGTTTTGTGATATAATTATATGACGTAGATAAATTATTCATACCTACCATTTGAACTACTGCAGTTGCCACTTTCGCAGCGCCAAAAGTATGAAACATAGCTGACTTTGACCCAGGATGGACAAAATTGGATTCCGGGTATAGAAATATACCTGTATTTTTGAACAATATCGCAGGCTTTGACCTTTTAGCGAGGTATTCTGTGATTTGTACAAATGATTTAGTGGATGTTCCAAGATTGGAAAATTCACGTGTCTATGGGTGGATGGCTTCGTGAAACGCACAGACGTTAAAACTTGTTTCTGGTCAAAGTGGTACATTGAAACCGAGACCATTAAGGCCTTTGGCCACCAAGGAAGAAGAAGCCAAATTAATTTTATTTGTAGACATAAAATTAATTATGGCCATATACCTATAACTCGGAGTTATAGGTATATGATTATGGCACGCCGTTTTACTTTTTATTTGCATAAGATATATCAAGTTTAATATATAATAATAGAAAATTACATTAAATAAATAATTCAAATATTATATAAAGATATTTAAAAAATGAATAACTTCTTTGACATATAAAATGGTAGATAATTTTGAAAACTCTTTTGTTATAATAAATAAATATTATGCCTCAGCTGAGTACTAGTATTTTTCGAGTTAATCTATAAAATTTATATTCTTGTAAATTTTAGTAAAATTAAGATAAAATTATAAATAGTAATAATATTTTAAAGTTAGATTCCTCAACCAAAAATTATTAATACTATTTTGTATCGTTAAAAAAATATAAATAACGATAGGTTTCTAATACATTACATATTTGTTGTACTAACGTTATTTTCTACCATTTAAACGCAATCTATAAACATTGTTCTTTTTTTAGTAAACTGGTGCCAGCATTGGTTTGAGTACTACCCCTTACCACCAATAAACGTTCTATCCATAGTGGAAAACCTTTTGTTCGAACACGACCTGGAACTTCTCACGCACATTTCCTCGCACAAAATAAAGGCGAACTTGTACGTGTGGCCTTTGCTGGAGACGGCGTTTTCCGAGGTCCTTACTGAAAAAGAATGGACGCAATTTTGGGACCACGTCATCACCAACGAAACATCTTTTCTGTTGTGTGCCGCCGCCTCGTACAATATCGCACAAAGATCGTCAATTTTGACGTTGACTGCGGAAGATGAATTTACGTTTTTCTACCACAATCAAAACGCTGTCGATGTGAAGAAGTTGATATCGAAAACCTACTGGATTTTGGACAAAACGTGCGTGAAACTTCACCCTCGTCAGTATTTCGACGATTTTCGTGGCATCAAAACCGATGGTTATCCGGTTTTCAACGACTACCCCAAAACGGTCGTGGAATTCGAAGCCAGCCACATGAATGTTATCGGTAAGGAATTAAAGGAGTCGAAATGTTTCGAGGAAATGATAGTGAAGGAAAAAATTAAGGAGTGGCAAAACCTGGTGGAATACGAGAAGAAAGATATAGAGAACGAGAGGAGAGAGGCGATGGAGAAAGCTTGCATGGAAAGAGTGCTCCAAGAGCAGGAAAAAGTTAACGTACAGCACCGGAAATTGGACAATTTGAGGCGGTCTTTGATGGCGGAGGAAAAAAACATAATGGATTATTCTCTGGGCAAATTGAAATCGATCAACGATAAAGAGCAAACGCGCAAGATGGAGTTTTTGATGGGCAACATCCAGTTGGGCGAAATAGCGGGAAAACGTAAATTTAACCAGGCGGAGCAAGAGTTATTATGTCGATATTCGGACATTCTCAAACACAAATACACCATAGCGGAGATGTTTTTGAACGATCCCTTACCGTCGACCAACGTGGAAAGTATCGTCTTGCAGGAACATCAGCGCGAGTTGGGGAGAGACGTGGACAAATTCCGAAAGAGAATGCAAAATAAGGAAGATCTGGAAACTCTAAACCTAACCACGGGTCTGCTTACAATAGAGCAGACGATACGAAAAGTGGAAGACGAATTGGTAGACGAATTAACGCAGAAATACAAAAACTGCGACCCTCGCGCCGATAAAAGACTTTTGCAGCTGGAAGCCGAAACTAAAGACCTGGAAAAAGACATCAAGCAACTACTGAGGACGGTCAAAAAAAGCGACAGCTCGGAAAATAAACAACGACGTAAGAAAAAAATACGATCCATAGAAGATGTTGTTGCCAGTAGAGAAGCCGGTTTAACGTTGAGGTCGAAGCGTTTGGTGGATGGCGAGGAATGCAACATTATTTTTAGTAGAAATAAGTAACTAAGTATTAAGTTTATACCTTTTTATATTTATAATAAAAATGTAGGTAATCACACAATCACATATGAACTCTTGAATTTTACAACCCACAATAAACTACATACTCCTACAGTGCAAATAAACTACAATGCATTTAAACTTAAATAACTTGAGCAACCTAGTTTTTCAGTTAAAAACTCAATGGAGTTTATCGAGAAAGTCAAAAGTGTTACACTGCAAGACAATGAGTTATTAGTTTAATTTGACGTTAGTTCTCTTTTTCCAAGTGTCCCGGTACCACTTACATTGACTTATATAGAGGATTTACTCGAAGAAAATAGGTTTTCCAATGATAGTGTTGCTGAATACTTGAAGTTAGTTCCAAGTCAACGGTTGCTTCTATAAACAGCATGAAGGGATTGCTATGTGGTCTCCCTTTTTAGCCGATCTTTTCATGAGCCGCTTTGAGAAGAAACTTAGTAGCTCGGGTTATTTTCCGAGGATTTGGTTAAGATACGCGATATCTGCAGAAAACCTATATCACTTCAGACTCGAACCACTGCACACAATATAAGCAGGCTAGTTTTAACTTTATTGTTCGTAGGTTGATAAACTTTTCACTGAGTAACAGTAGATACAAGAAAGAGCTCAGTTTTATAAAATGGATTGCTAGAGACAATGGTTTTGAACCCACCCTAGCCCTTGTGGAAATTTTTCTCTGAGAAAGTCTTACTTTCTCTGAAAAAGTCTGAATAATACTTATTAAGTCGAAAAAAATTAGGACGGTCAGAATAAGACTTATTAAGTCGGAAAAAGTCTGAATAAGTCTTATTAAGTCAGACTAATAGCAAGATTTGGGAGTCTTCTGGAAGAGTTAAAAATGTTAATAAATACTTTTCTATGTGTTTTATTTTACGATAACCAAATACAATCTCTATGAATTATTTCGGATATTTATTTTTATCGCCATAGGTACCTACCATTTCTCTACTAAAAGTCTTATTAAGTCTTAAAAAGTCTAATTAACTACAGTGAATTAAAGGCTATAGTCACGGAAGTAATAAAGTGAGAAGTGATAATTGACAGCATACCTGGCGGACGAACCACCTGACAAACGGTGAAGAACAAACGAGTGGAAAGGGCCATCATCTGCAAAAATCGATAAGTACTCTTAACTGACATGACCTACAGACAAATAAATCAATCACCAAGTAAGTCATGAAATCCATAAACTTAAGTGCGTGAACTAATCGAGACATAAATAAACATGGGAATCTAGGAACTTATAGACCAATGCGTACCTACTTGAACGACTCCTTACGGCAAAAACGGCTTTTGGGTTATACTCACTAATAATAAAAATGTAGGTACTCACCCTCAGACTGTTCGTTAATCCCTGTTGCTTCGAAACGGCGACGCTCATTTGCTGCGATATAACGTAATTAAACGAGGTACCTTTAACGTAATAATTTCTAGAATCGAACAGGTAATCCTCTTGGGATTTAAACTCGTCTTCGGGCGCCATCGGAGGTGAATCTTTCCTGTGTTGGATAAATTGTTGAACTGTTAACCAAAGCCGTCTTTGCCAGTTTAAAATTCCGGGAAAGGCTGCAATTAACTACGTAAAAAACCGATTAACAAAATACGATCGCGTTTACTGTTGCTGTTCCAGTTTCTGTGCGAGGTTGGCGCCACGTCGGCCAAAATTAAAAGCCTCGTGGTGTCGACTCCGTACTCTCTAAACATGTCCTCCGGATCTACCCCGTTGTGTTTCGACTTGCTCATTTTTTCCCAGGCTATCACAACAGGTTCTTTGGTGTCCAATGTTTCAGCCTTATTTCTCTTCAAATCTTGAATAAAATTAAATGGCTATAACCGCCGACCCAACAGCTAACCTAATTTCCTACCTACCTATAATGTTAACTTTGCTTTCTGGCAAATATTCCCCAGTGCCTTTTATCCTGTAACTTCTCCCCATGACCATCCCTTGAACTAAAAGCCTCTTGAAAGGTTCCCTTTCCGGTAAGAGACCCAAGGAATGAAGAAAATGTGCTATAAACCTTGCATAATACAAATGCAAAACGGCTGAAAAAATGCATTAAAAATACAAATAAATTATTAATCCTTACCATGGTGTGCCTGAACGAAGTTTAAGTCAAATAAAAATGCCGTCAAAAACTGATTGCAGTTTCTTGTTCGGGAGCCTTTGGTGACTTAAAAATGATATTTACCAAAATCTTAGATGCTCCCCTTTTCGAATTTTTTTGAAAATTCATGATCTTTTTTAAATTTGTTTATTTCAAAGTCTACCTTTGTACACCGATTTTTATAAAATTAGAGTATATTATTGAGGAGACTTAAATAATACTTTTTAATACTGTTCACATCATTTATTTTTAATAAAGGAAAAGCGTAAATTCATGATTTTGGCATAACACGCAAGATTTTTTTTTAGATATTTCTACGTTTATCAGGTTCACGGTCTTATATACAGGTCTTGCAACTTCGCCCAATTTCAATAGGAAAAGTGACCTCTCTAATGAGACACCCACCAGATGGCGCATCGAGTTATGGATAAACCATAGATGTTTAAAGGTCGTTTTTACCTTTTTTATCTTTGGGTTTTACAATCGTTAGATAAGCTCTCTGGTGGATAATTTTCTTAGATAGGAGGTTTCTATGAAAGTTATCCGCCAAATAAGCTAACTTAATCTAACAATTGTAAAACCGGCTCTAAGTCCTTAAAGTCTATGGGATAAAAGGTCAAATGAACTACCTACTTATGTTCTTTGCACGGTCTTCAAGTAAATTAGCCAAGACCTTTGGTTGGTTTACAAACTAGCCGCTAATTTAGTTTAAAATACGTTTTCTATTAAAATAGCTGACAGTTTGGCTAGTTTATAAACTACCCAGCTACTTTATAAACCATCCATGTTTACACATTAGCCGTAACATATATATGATATACGTATGTATTTTATACATTAACATGTTTTACTTACATGTTTGGTCTGGGCATGTGACGGCCGAGGACTTTGTGCATAGAGTATAGACTTTGTTGTCCTATTTTGTTAACGTAAATTATCCGAAACAAACTCACAAATATTAAATTTTTGAAAATGTAAACAAAACATAGAAAAAGAATTTAAAAAGTTAGGTTATGGTTATGCAGTAGTTCCACATTTAACTAAGTAGTTCATTTAATTGACTTAACCCTTCGATCTTAGCGCCACCTAGCGGCTTGGCACATTAAGGAAGCCACCTCGAAGCTTAAAGTTGCAAGACCTGTATATAAGACCGTGATCAGGTTACAAAATGGCATTCTTATTAACCTTTTATAAAAAAATAGATTTTTAATAAAATTAAATAAAATAACGCTTAGAGAATATTTAAAATGTTGTTTAATTTAGGCTTTTTAGTAGTTTTCTATTTTGAACGAAAAACTGGTTAAAGTTTTTTGATCGGCACTCTTTGGAGATTTAATAACGATATTTACCAAAATTCTCCAAATCTCCTTAACAATATATTCCAATATTATAAAAATCGATGTACAATTCGAAAAGAGGAGCAGCTAGGATTTTGGTAAATATTTTTTTTAAGTCACCACAGGATCCCGATCAAGAAACTGCAATCAGTTTTTGGGGGCATTTTTATGTGACTTAAACTTCGTTCAGGCACACCGTGACCACGTAACTTACCATGCTCTTTTCCACCAATATACAAATCCACAGGAGACATTGTCATAGCTTTATCGCGACCGAACATTTCCTTGTCATTTTTTGCATCTAAAAACCTCAAATAGTACCAGGAGCTGTCGACGAAGGTGTCCATGGTATCGGTTTCCCTTTTTGCGGGGCCTTTGCACTTGGGACACTCGCAAGTCACCCATTCGTCGATTTCTGCCAGTTGTGAAACGCCTTTAACACTGAGTTTTTTAAGTTTCGGTAACACAACAGGCAGATTTTCTTTTGGAACAGGCCGAGTTCCGCAATTTGGGCAGTGAATTATGGGTATTGGGGTTCCCCAGTATCTACATCAAAAATCGAATCAAAAACGACATAATTGCAACAACGGTTTATTAATTATTGTCGAATTCAATATTTACGCTCTTTACGGAAATTTTATACGCTAAAGAAGCATCGGGTTTTCGCAACGCGCGGCATCTGGTGGTGAATTCAAGAAATGTCAACAATACATTTGAAGCACACGAACTGCACATCATTTTTAAATAAATAATAGTTTCTTCACAAAAGAGAGGAAGACAAATTTTATTTAATTGCGCAGCTAAATCGCGCACGTTATTTGTGTTTCGCGTTGCAAGTGAAAACTAAAAAAGTTTGCTTTACTCCTCGATTTCGATTTATTATTCCTTATATCATTAATTAAGAAACTGAACGCTTACATGCTTATATAGTTACGTTAGTGTGTGTATTTTATCTAAGTGATCATGGTGAATTATTGTGTTTTTAATTGTAAATAAAATTCAAGAACTAAATCGTTGCATTTTCATGTTTTGCCAAAGGATCAAATTCGGTACGTTTATTTGCAGAATTAACTAATGATAACTATCTAACATAATTGGAAAGTTTTGAAATTTTTAAGAAATCAAACAAAAAATATTTGTACTATACTTCACACCTCAAAGTCCCACCACGTGACCACGTACGGAACGCAGTCTTTTGAACATTTGGCATTTAAGGCTTTTCAGGTTATGTATCTGTCAAAGTATAATCAATGAAAGAAATAATATTTATAGTGTTACCGCTTATGTTTAAGCGTTAAGAAATAATAAATCTATCACAATAACAATGGTTGGTTTAAGAATTTAGGAATATAAATACCTACTGCATTTAATGAAATTCTAAAGTGTAAGCTGCAATATAAGTGATATTTTTGTGCATTGGGTCTACATTTGTCCATAAAATAGTTTTAACTAAACAGCATTTAGGTATTTAAAAAAATCTAACTTCTCTATTGTGAAATAAGAATATCTGTATCAAAGGTTGGTTAATGTATTAGAACAAAAAATATCATCTAATTTTGTATTTTAAGGTTAGAAAAATCTATTTTTACCAAAATAAATAAGTGGATTATTTAGAAGAGTGGGTTAATATGGTCATAAATAAATATACTAAATAATTGTTGAATATGGTTCAAATTAAATTGAAGCTTTTATACTTCTAATGACAAAACTTGTGCATACCTCTTGGCATACCTACTTTAAGTTAGATTATAAGAAAACAAAAAATTTTTAGAGAAACTTGCAATGTGAAAATATTTAATACTCCCATGACATGTGATTTATTAAAATTTTTAAAGTTATAATGATTTGTCAATGTAGATCAAGTTCAGTCAAAGCTTTTTAACTATTTGTATTGACAAAACTTTATGTAGGTACACTTTAAGCTGGATAAGAAAAAATACCATATTATACAGTCTTTTAAATAATCAAAAATACTTATTTATTTTGGTCAAAATACATTTTTCTAACCTTAAAATTACAAAATTAGATGATATTTTTGTTATAATATATTAACCTACCTTTAAAACAGATATTCTTATTCCATAATAGAGAAGCTAGATTTTTTTAAATAAATGCTGTTTAGTTAAAATTATTTTATAGAGAAAACCAGATATTTGGACTAAATTCACAAAAATATTACTTATTTGGCACCATACCCTTAAGAACTTCATTAAATGCAGTATTTATATTCTTAAATTCTTAAACCATCCATTGTTATTGTAATGTTATAAAGATTTATACATTTTTAACGCCTAAACATAATATTATTTCTTTTGTTGACTATACTTTGACAGATACATAACCTAAAAAGCCTTAAATGACAAATTTTCAAAAGACTGCGTTCCGTACGTGGTCACGTGGTGGGACTTTGAGGTGTGGAGCATAGTACCAACAAAACCTAAAAATCGAATATTTTTATATTTGAGACGTCTTAAAAACGCCGCCAACTGCATTTTAAACGATAAAATATACCTGCGAATTCATGGGAACATAACATTATATATAATACATAATATAATACCAGTTCTTGGTATTTTACTGTTTAGTGTAGACTTTCTTAATTTGAATTTAGACGTCTTATTTGTTTTATGATTTTTACTGAATTGAAATGTTTACAATTTTCAGGTAAATCAAGTACAATTTATATTTACAGGGACAGTATGCAATTTATTTCTTCATTCGGATTTCCACTGTTTATAGGGAAGCCGGTAAAAACTCAACAAAGGATTTCCTTTCGAAAAATACCCAACAACACAACATCGTACCACGGTTTTTCCCGATACTTTTAATATTTCAACAGCTTCTGATTACGATGATAACGGCCACGTGGTGGCGCTACTAGCGATGCTTCTTTAGCGTATTGAAAATTTGATTTTTACCTTTGTCGCGATATAAGCCAATCCCTTAACTTTGCACTCGTCCAATAACCGCCAATATTCAACTCTTTTGCTTTACCAATAACTTCCTCCCTGACTTTTTTAATTTCTTCTTCTGACTTCTGAGCATCAATTTCGGTAAATTTTATTTTATTTTTATGGGCAAACCGTGCAGCTTCTTCATTTAAACCAGGTATACCAACGTACGAATCGGTGAACGGTAAAAATTCAACATCATTTGACACAAATACAGGTACTTCTTTATTGTTAAAAGGATTTAATAAAGTTGCGCTTAATTTTTTTGTACCATTTAAGCCAGTGATATTCTCTTGTCTAGCCAAAATATGATCCTTTTTAACAGCCACAAACTTAACATCATTAACAAGTTCTGGACTGTTAATCCATAAACTGACAAACTCATCACTATTTTCCTTTATTTTGAAGTCGAAATTCACACCATCGCATTCTCCAATCCAATGCTTTTGCAATTTAATTATGTCCTTCCAATCGTGTAACACCGAGTCGTCTAAACCTTCAAGCAGGTCTTTAGCAAACTTTGTGGTCCTTATGAACCATTGTTTTAGCAATTTTTTCTCCACTTTTGCCCCTGAACGCCAAGAACACCCGTTTTCATCGACCTATAAGGTTTTTAAAACCTTTAATTGTTTTTAGTACTGATATTGATCATAAATTTAAAGCGCTTATTTTTGTACGGTCAAAACGCTTATTTTATGTCCAAAACAAATTATGGATCATAAAATGTAAGTACGGATTTTGATCATACGGTCAAAACGCATATTTTATGTCCAAAACAAATTTTGGATCGTTTTTATGGATTATGATCATTTATCATAAAAAGTATGGATTTTGATCATATGGTCGAAACGATTTTTTAAATATGGATTATGATCATTTTTAAATGATGAATCATAAAAAGTATGGATTTTGATCACATGGTCGAAACGATTTTTTGAAAATATGGATTATGATCGTTTATCATAAAAAGTATGATTTTGATCATATGGTCAAACCGATTTTTTTAAATATGAATTATGATCATTTTTAAATGATGAATCATAAAAAGTATGGATTTTGATCACATGGTCGAAACGATTTTTGGAAAATATGGATTATGATCATTTATCATAAAAAGTATGGATTTTTTTGTTGAAAAAATATGGATTGTTATCATTTATTATAAAAGTATGGATTTTGATCATATGGTCAAAACAATTTTTTGAAAATATGGATTATGATCATTAATAAATTATAAATCATACAAAGTATAGATATTGTTCATATGGTCCAAACGATTTTTTGAAAATATGGATTATGATCATTTATTATAAAAAGTTATGATTTTGATCATATGGTCAAAATGATTTTTAAAAAATTATGGATTGTGACCATTTATCATAAAAAGTATACATTTTAATCATATGGTCAAATCGATTTTTTGAAAATATGGATTATAATCATTCATAAATGATACATCATAAAAAGTATGTATTTTGATTATATGGTCAAAACGATTTTTTGAAAATATGGATTATGATGATTTATTATAAAAAGTATGGATTTTGTTCATATGGTCAAAACGATTTTTTGAAAATATGAATTACGATCATTTATCATAAAAAACGTATGGATTTTGATCATATGGTTTTGACAAACTCCAACTTTTAAATTTGGACCAATTAAAAAAAAATCACATAAGATATAAATATAAATATCAGTCACAGAAAGGATGAGAATCCGCATGAGCCAAATTAAATATGATAAAATAAACGTAAAACCTACTTGTTCATGGGCCAAAACAGTCTTATCAACAGGATCCCAATTGACCAGAGCCTCTTTCTGATACGCCAAACCGGCTTCATACAATTTTAAAAACAAATCTTGCGTCCACCTGTAGTACTGCGGATGACATGTTGCCAGCTCTCTGTGCCATTCGAAACTGCAGCCAAGAGTTTGCAGCTGATTTTTCATATGCTCAATGTTCTTCTCTGTCCAGTCGTCGGGCGATATTTGCCTTTCGATTGCCGCGTTTTCGGCAGGAAGGCCGAAAGCATCCCATCCGGTGGGATGAATTACCTACAAATTAGTTAGCCTTTGAATGAATTTTTAGACATTTGGCAACAATGTAGTCTATCAAAAATTATTTACATTTTTACCGTTCATACGTTGAAATCTCGCCACAGCATCGCTAATTGTGTAAACTCTTACATGCCCCATGTGTAAATGACCTGAAGGATAGGGAAACATGGACAACACATAATACTTTTCTTTGTCGCTACATTGCTCATCGTAAATGGGAGTTTTTATTTTATCTCGCCAATGCTGCTCTATTCTGTGTTTAACTTCCGAAGTTAATTCTTTATCCTGGAAGACACAATTAAGAAAAAGCGCCTTTTTCGTTCCTTTTAATTCTTACCCATAAATTTAAGCTTGAAATTGATCTCAGCACCAATTTTTTCTGTATTATAGGTAGGTTTTGCAAAACACATCCTCCTTTAAGCCTAAACAACATGTTTTTAAGGAATATTTTATTTGAACCTACATAACCTTAATCTAACAGATGTTCTTCAAAAATACCACAAATACTTTTGGAGCCAAATTTTTTGTGTACACCTTATGTTCTGTGGTATAACCGAGATTTGTTACCCTATTCTGAAATCAATTTAATAAATCTAAATTTAAGGATATTTAAAATGGAGTTAACAACATGTATTTAAATATGTTTTTCCTAATATACATAAAACTTTTTTAATTTGAGAATCCACAAATGTCTTTTTATTCCAAAACCTCTAGTTCACACTGTGGAGGTATTGAAGCCCAACGACTTATGAAGAAGAAGAAGCACAGAATATTCTTTGAGTTGGCTCACTTGTCAATAACCTCAAAATTGCGGCGTTCCATAAACGTCAACAAAACCTAATAACAAAACGTTATTTTTATTAAGTATGTCTGCAGAACCGCCTTTAAAAAGGCTAAAAAAGGAAGTTAATGTTGAAGGTTATTATTATTAAAAACCTTTTGTTATAATAATGGTGATTAATTGATTATTTTTTTAAATTTAAGATGATGATATACCAACCCAGCCAAACAATGCTTTGAAAAATTCGAGGCTTTGCCCATATCTTGACACCATTAACAGACAATATTTGGATTTTGATTTTGAAAAGTTGTGCTCTGTATCCTTAACGAGAATAAATGTTTATGCTTGTCTTGTGTGCGGTAAATACTTTCAAGGAAGGGGAAACAATACACATGCATACACACATTCAGTTGCTGAAAGCCACCATGTGTTCTTGAATTTGCAAACGCTCAAGTTTTATTGTTTACCAGACAATTATGAAATTATAGGTAAGAACTACATAATTCATACAAAAACTTTTATTATCAAATCAAATTTAAATTAGATCACTAAAATAAATTATGAAATGCTGAAATAAAATGTAACTGTAAAATTACTATAATTTTAAAATATTCCCAGATTCTTCCTTGGACGATATCAAATATTTATTGAATCCCACTTTCACTGAAGATCACATAAAAAATCTGGATTCCAGTGAAAAATTATCCAGGGCTATAGATGGATCAATGTATATGCCAGGAATTGTTGGTTTTAACAATATTAAAGCCAATGATTATTGTAATGTAGTTTTGCAGGTATTTATCATTCATTTATCATTAATTTATCATAATAATTAATAAAATTTAGGCTTTGTCTCATGTATTACCCCTGAGAAACTATTTTTTAAGAGAGGAAAATTACAGTAAAGTAAAACGCCCACCAGGCGATTCGTCCTTTCTTTTAGTACAAAGGTTTGGTGAGTTGATGAGGAAATTATGGAACCCCAGAAATTTTAAGACCCATGTTTCTCCTCACGAAATGTTACAGGCTGTCGTTTTGTGGAGTAAGAAGACTTTTCAGTTTACACAACAAGGTAAAATATAGTTTATTATTTAAATTTGATTTTACCATTTTTTTCAATCCCAAATTGAACTTGGGAACAATTTTAAGAATTTTTGAGGTAAAATATTTTTTTAAAAATACTTTAGGTGATCCCATTGATTTCCTATCATGGTTTTTGAACGCGCTGCACAGGGCGTTAAACGGCACCAAAAAAAAGGACAGCTCCATAATTTACAAGGCTTTTCTGGGGAACATGAAAATTTACACGCGCAAAATTCCGTCGACAGATTTGGACGAGAAGCAGAAGAGGGCGCTGATGTTAACCGAGGAATATCAGGAAACGGAAGCTGAATCGCCATTTTTGTATTTGACTTGCGATTTGCCCCCTCCGCCGCTTTTTATCGACGAATTTAGAGAAAATATTATTCCACAGGTAATAAACAATATAATTTTTTTTATAACATTACATCTTATATTAATAATTAATAAAAACAACCTGGGATAAAAAAAATTAGGTTTTAAGTTATTATCAATTGTAGGTAAATTTATATCAATTATTAACCAAGTTCAATGGAGAAACTGAAAAGGAATATAAAACATACAAGGAAAATTTCCTCAAGAGGTTTGAGATAACCAAACTCCCTCCATATTTAATCTTATACATAAAAAGATTTACCAAAAATACATTTTTCATTGAAAAAAATCCAACAATCATCAACTTTCCCGTCAAGTAAGTAATAATATATTAATATTTATTTACATCATAAGGTTGAGAAATGAGTCTCATTAAACATACAATTATAATAAAAATGATTAAAATATAAATTAAGGTTAGATAAATCTGAAAGTATTCGAATTTTTCTATTGGTCCACACGGATTTTTACAGACTAGGAGGTAAAACCTATACCCAATAACTAAACATAAAACAGTTTCTTTCGAAATTTCGCACCGTTTTTATTTTACTATCTAAGAACTTGACAAAATTGTTGTTCGCATGAATATATTCAAAAAAATATTTGCAAAAAAAACTATTTTATAACAATTATTTAAATAATTTCAATTATTTTAAATTATTTTGCAAATATTATTTTTCGCAAATCCCAAAATAATGTTTGTAATAAAAAATTGATGCCAAAATAATATATGATACATCGCCTACAATTTTTTTATAAAACAAGTTATGTGTCCGCATGCTTGAAATGGCCCAATGGTAAAAAATTATGTGAAATATGTACTACCTGCTTGTTTTTAGAATAGCATGACAAAGTATGTCTAAGTAAATTTAACCACACTTATAAGCGTTTTTATTGGTAAAAAGCGCAAGTAGCACAACTGGTTAAATTAACGTTAAATTTACGTTATTCCTGGTTAATTCATTTAAGTTATATTGTAGTACAATTAAATTAACGTTATTTTGTAATAAGTGGGGAATTCAATTATGGTAAAATTAACGTTATGTTAGTTAAATTTAACTTCTTGGTTAATTAACCAAGAAGTTAAATTTAACTAACATAACGTTAATTTTACCATAATTAATATACCTTTTGGTTAAAAAGAAGGTAATATTTGGTAGTTTTTGGTTTATTTTACCCTTTTTAACTACTTTTAACTCAACTTAAATTATAATTAACCGGTTTAAGTTTATTTTAACTACATAATTATAATTCACCAAATATGGTTATGTATATCTTTAGATCCTTAAAATAAAATGTCCCCCTGTACTCATATGATAATATTATTATCAATTCATATCTTGAGATAGTTCCAAAGGAAAAACCAATGGGACATTTTTAGTAGTACATAATACTTTTATATTTTAAATGCGCTTTGAAAAAAATAAGAAATAAAGAAAATAAACAATAAAAAAATATTTTTTTGCCTATTTTTTCTTTATTTTGTTGAAATTGATTTCAAATACTTTAAAACATAAAATACTATTATGTTTAATTATTGGTTTGTTTAAATCACCTTATTTTTGGAATAAAACAAATTAGTAAAATTAATAGCATTTCCTTTTGTTAGAATGGACAGCAAACAATATGGCGATTTTAGGATGCTTTTACTTATTGGTTCTAAAACAATATAAATTAACCTTTAAGCTTTGAGTCAATGCTTCAAGTGTACTGAAACCTTTTGGTTATTTTATTGTTTTTAATTTTATTACTTTATTAACCTATTGGTAATTTATAACTTTCTGGTTTTGGTTTAAATTTGGTTAATGTAACACATTATACTTAATAATTACCAAAATTAGATAAATTAATTTAATTTGTTATTTTTATAAAACGCATCTGTTCTGTGATAAAACCAATAGATGCTTACCAAATTAATTAAATGTGAGGGGACTGTTTTAAGATTTGTAGATAAATAATCATTTACAACTTTGTTAACTCGTCTATAGTAAGTTAAACAAAGTCTATATTTTTTTAAATTATTTTAGTGTGGCCCATTTAAGATGGAAACACCCCCGTAACTGTTTTATTTTTTACACGATTTTAATGAACAAACGCTCAAAAGATAGAGAATAAAAAACTCTTTCTAAGCTATAAAAAATATTTTTAATGTCAATTAACAGAAGCCTACTATAACATTTATTCTATGTCAAAATTGGGAAAAAAATATTAGGGTCGTTTTTTCGAAAAAAATAAGTACGCCACTGAATGCGGCATGCTTTAAAATGGGTACAAATCAAATTTCATTAAAAACGAACCAATAATAATTATTTTAGACAAGTTTTTTTTTTAAATATTTATAACGAAAAATAAAACACATTTAGGAGGTTTAGGAGAAAAATAAGTACGGCACTGAACGCGGCATACTTCAGAATGGGTACAAACTTAATTTCATGAAAACTATCGATAAAAAATAAAAAACTAAGATAGCCATGCTGAAAATGTATGTTCATAACCAGAGCTGCAAGCTCTCAGAAAACTTAAATCGTTTTTTTGATTTAAATCGTTTTAATGACTTAAGTCATTTGGTAATAAGTCATTTCTCTAAAATTGACTTAAGACTTAAAATTTAAATAATTTTCAAAATGATTTGTGACTTAAATATTTTTTCAAAATAGAAAAAACTTAAGTCATTAATAAAAGGCTTAAATCAGTACATACGATTTCAGTCAGATAGAAACGATTTAAGTCAAAAAAAGATTTAAGTCTTTTTAAAAAAGATTTAAGTCTTTTTAGAAAATATTTAAGTCAGATTTTTCATATATTTTTTTATAAATTTTTAACAGCAGCATTTTATTTTGAACTGCCATGGGTTCACGCGGCAGCAGATCAAAAACTCCTTTAATTTCCTACCTACAATTGCTACCGCTAGTGGATAAAAAAACCGCCGCGGTAAAGTTAGCTTTTCGGAACCGTTTGACGGCTACATTAAAAAATGTCCTGTCTAAAATGAATTAAAAAAAGTGGGGATTTATAATTTTGTTATTTTGTTTGCCAAAATTCGTCGTGTTCGTGCGTAGTTAGGTCTAATTTGTGAATATTAGTGCAAAGTGGAAACAATCAGTCGTGAGCAGTCGTACATCTTGAGCGGTCGTGAATCGAGAGTTTGGAACTTCCCATCATTACTCCCTTAAGGGAGGAATATTTTTTTTCTAGTTGGATGTTGAACCAGCTAACAAAAGTTAACAAAACAACAAGTTATCAGTTTTTGAAATACTTCAACTTTTATCTATTTTAACAGAGTTTGAATCTATTACTCTTTAGAAGTTACCCATTTATGTATATAAAAAAGTAGCCTCCCTGTATGTCTACTCTACTAAAAAAGGTGGTTTAAGTTTTTATTTTTATTGTCTACTACATATATACTCAAAAAATGTGTTTTAAGTTTTTATTTTATTTGTAAGTGTTCTGAAAATAAATCGTTTTAAATTCTTAACATAATGGTTTATTATCATCTGTATCTACAATAGATTAATAATATCAGTATTATTAATACCATAAAATTATTATTAACATTTAAAAAATCGTTGTATTGACTTAAGGGTAATTATTTTGATTTAAATCACAATTTTTGATTTAAGTCATTTTATTGACTTAACTCTTAGATCACGATTTAAATAAAAAATATAGACTTAAGTAATAAAAACGACTTACTAAAGGAATTAAGTCATAAGATGACTTAAATCACTTAATATTGATTTAAGAATTTGCGAAAATGACTTGACTTGAAAGAAAATGATTTAATTCAAAGACTTAATACTTAAATCATTTGAACTTTATCTTAGAATTGACTTAAGATTTAAATCATTTTGATTTTAGAATTGACTTAAGATTTAAGTCTTTTTAAAACTGACTTGTTGCAGCTCTGTTCATAACGTGGTAAAATAAACTTGTCTAAAATAGTTATTTATAGCTTAGATAGAGGTTTTTATTCTCTATCTTTTGAGCCATTGTTAATTAAAATCGAGTAACAAATAAAAAAGTTACAGGGGTATTCCATTTTAAATGGGTCACACTGTATAAAGCTGTTTTGAGACTAATTTTTCTATGCAGGTAACAATGGTAAAATATAATTTGTTGGTTAAAAAATATATCCAAATTAACCAAAAAGTAATATCAAAAGTTTAACTAAACCAAAAATATGTCAAAAATAACTAGTCTTAACCATTTTCAAAGGTTAAAATTATAAGTTTATATAACGTTATGTAACTTCTAAAATAACCTACTTTTTAACTTATAAGTAATATTATTAACTTACCGGTTGGTAAATTAAAAGGGGTATTTTTTAGTTCATAGTAACCGTAAAAAAATGTTAATGGTTGAGTACAACTAATTGGTTAAAAGCAAGTTTTAAAAAAACGTTATTTTACTTAGATTTTGGTTAGTTTACTTAGATGCTAGATATTTAACTAGTTGTGCTATCCAAATTAACGCTTAGTTCTTAAATTGAATTTACTACAGATATGTTCACACCAGGAGCATATGAAGAAAAAAATCGGGGGAAAAAAGTGTTTACCACATTTTCCAAACACCCCCATTGCATACCCCCACAAAAAGAATTGCTAAAGTATCAATCTAATGTTGTAGAAATGTGGATTTTGGCGAGTTTTTAACCCCCGAAATCCGAGCCAAACACAAAAACACGGTGTACGACTTGGTGGCGAATATTGTTCACGACGGGGAACCGACCAAAGGAACGTACAAAGTGCACATCCTGCAGAAATCGACGGGGCAGTGGTACGAGATGCAGGATTTACACGTCACGGACATTCTCCCCCAGATGATCACTCTGACGGAAGCTTACATACAAATTTACGAATTAAGGACGTCATAGTGATATGTATGTATATAATTTAAGGATTAATTGAAGTAATAATAAGCAATTTTTAACGTCTACATTTTTTTATTTTTCTGTTGAGTACTACATATTTTAAATTCACTCCAAATGGTCACATTGCCTTGCTGGTGGGGCAAGGGGGGTAATTATTGGAGGTATAAAAGCGTTTTCCCAATAGCCAGGGAACCTGTCCCCACTCGACATGTTGCATTGCATGCTTAAGGGCGATTCTCCATAGACTTCCCTTAAAAGTTCCACTCTCATTTTGTTCCATTCGATTGCCTTGTAATTTTCCGAAACTCCCTTTGTTGGAGAAGTCTCTTGGTTTTCCCACCTGACAAAAGTTGTTTTAATCTTTAAATAAACCTAATAAATTGTCACTTTGGGGGAATGATAGTTAGGGTTTTAAAGTAGCAATTAACAACTTGACATTATTTTAATTTAAAAAAATATAACTAAAGATGGAATTGAATTAAATTGGGTCTTTTTTTCAAAAAGGAGTCCATTAAAAATATCCAATTACAAAATAATGAATGATTTATAACGTTACATTACAAAATTATAATTTTATAAATCAAAGTGTCGGATAAAACGAAAGTTATATTAATATACAGCATCGAATATATTTTTTTGCGGCCCGGTAGAATATTCTTATAATCAGTGTCGGATTTTGTTTTTTCGATATCATTGTACGGATATTATCCGTGGATGCCTAAAGGATGACAACTTATTTGGGACACCCTGTATGCTACATAAATTTAACTTACTCGTTCATATATCTGAAAAACGTGGCTAACGCCTGGTCGCTAATGGAACTTTTGCAAACTTCCAGATCAGTGTGCGGGTAATAATGAACGTAATTCACGCACATTTCGTCTGTTATCTGAAATCCTCCCAACGTTACATTCGTCTTGTGTTTCGTACTGTAATCGCATCTCGTTATCAAAGCATGACCCTGCAATTATTACATTTAGTCATAACTGAAATTCAAATAAAACATTTTAGTTCCAGTCAAACCGTGGGGAAAAATGGCCTAGACTTGCATCTGTTTTTTGTTCATGATTTGAAAAGCTCAAAACCAAATTTGCACCACCTGGCCATTTTGTCTTTCAAAGATTGTGCAAAAATACATTTTTTTTTGTTTTTTCAAAAATCCCGAAAATTTACTATAATTTTGGTCTGAAGTATTTTTTGTTTAAACAAATGAGTAAAAAAAAATAGTCGGTTAAAATAAAAAAATTGTTTTTTTTCTTCACTTCTTTGCAAATATACGAGTATGTATGGGATTCAGGAATTATTGTCACGTGTTAACACTAGAATGATATTTTCAATTAGATAAAAAATATCACAACATAATTTTTATTCTGCGAATTAATAATGTCATTATATTTTAAAATTAGATTTAATTTTTATGCCAAACTGAAATTATTTATTTAGTTAATTTAAAATATTTGCTTCTTATATTTCTATTTTTTTTCTGTACACAAATTTTTTATTCGCTAAATTAAAAATATCATAGGAGAAATTTTTAAATGTATTAAAAATATCATAAGATATAAGTATTTTTAATTCGATTTAATTTTTATTTTATTAAATAAGTAGATATTTTTAATCGAATGTGATATTTTTAATTTCGGCTGATTGAGAGTTTGTTTGTTATTCCAAACCCCACAAAAACAGACCCATTCCCAGTGATAGTGCCGCCATCTAGCGACATAATTAGTTTTGAAAACCAGGGGTGTCCAAACTCTTAATCTGAATTAAAAATATCACATCCCATTAAAAATATCTGCTTATTTTAAAAAATTAAAAATATCTCCTATGATATTTTTAATTTAGCGAATTAAAGATATGTGTTTAACTAAAAAATACAAATATATGAAACTAATTCACTAAATTAAAAATATCAATCTAGCATGTGTGATATTCTTTTATCTAGTTGAAAATATTACTCTAGTCACTAGACTCTAGTGACTGGAGTCTAGTGTTAACACATAACAATAATTTCTGAATAAAAAAGTGAAAAAAACCAAAAGATAAAAACAATATTTTCGTTTTAACTGACTACAGGCGTTTTTTCGCGTAATTACCACGGAATACTATAGTTAAAAAAGTTATGACGTCACGGTTAATTCGTTTAACCACGGTTATTGATTGTCATTTCAAATGTATAGTCACGGCCAAATCTATATGGGTGCACGTCATCAATGAGATATAATGACGTCAGCATTACCAACTTTGAATTGTAAAGTTACTACCGTTAAATTTGCTTTTTTAAGGCGTAATTCTGATGTGTTATTAAAAAGAAATCATTCATTTGCGTATTATATAAAAGTAAACTACGTACACGTCATCAATCAGCTGATCGGACACGGTTGTCAATGTGATGCTAAAATCCTTGCATCAAGGGAAAGTGGTAGTGCAACTACAGGGCGATAGATGGCGTTTACATGAATAATACCAAAATGTCAAAAGTCTGAGTTTTTATAACCTATATGATGCACCGCCAATAGTATGTTTTTAGCCATTTTTAAAGACATTTTCTGATATAAAACCCAAAAATTTTTCCATCTAAAGTCAGTCTCTGGTATAGGTATATATTATTATTTTATGTATCCAACATATATTTTGTTAAATATTCTAATATATAATTAATAATAATCCAATTTACCTCTCTAACAGCTGTTAAAGGTAACAAAGGTCCATTATTATCCCGTTCTGCCTCAAAATAGCGTATTAAGGATGACACCAACTCTTGACTCCGACTATTTAAATGCTTCGGCATTTTAAATATAGGAAACACAAAAAAACGATATATAACAAACACAAAAACGGCAATGAAAACTTAAACGATATAAAATAACACAAACAACAAACAAAATAAACGAAATAATACACGAATTAAACGAAATATTCAAAAACACAACTGACAGCTTCGAAATTCTAAAACGTCAAATTCTTTTTTATGTGTCATTTAAATATGAAATATTTAAATGTAAATATGACAACATCTTAATTGTTGCCAACTGAAGATGTTTAAAATGCATTCAAATATTCAATTACAGACGTCGATTTAGTCATTTAGTGTTGGTACCAATGCGTAAAATTTTTGTTTTATTGATGACGTGTACGTAGTTTACTTTTAAATTTACTATAACTTTTGATGTTCATAAACTTTATAATAGGGTGATTCATTTCCGCAAAGTTTTTGTTTTCTTCGGTGCTCAAGCAAAATATTAATCTGCATATAGAAAAAAAATTCTCAACAAGTTTGAGCTCTTAATATCAATTTTAAGTACTTGCAGTTTAAATTTAAAGTTTTCCCATTTAAAAAGCATGTAAAAAAAATGTTTTTTTTTCAAATTTCTAATGCTTACCCACCTTTGACAATATTGCAAATCGGTTTAATACACCTTATGGGGAATTTCACGCTCTTTAAAATTGCTCTTGAGTTTTTTTTTGTAACTCGCTTTGGTTCACCAGTAGGAGTCGTCAAAGGACAGTTTTTGAAAAAAATCGTTTTTTTTTTTAATTTTTTTCTAACAAACCGCAAAAAGTAGGGAGAAAAGTTTTTGTTTTCTTCGGTGCTCAAGCAAAATATTAATCTGCATATAGAAAAAAAAATTCTCAACAAGTTTAAGCTCTTAATATAAATTTTAAGTACTTACTATTTAAATTTAAAGTTTTACCGTTTAAAATGCATGTAAAAAATATATATTTTTTTTCAAATTTCTAATGCTTACCCACCTTTGACAATATTGCAAATCGGTTTAATACACCTTATGGGGAATTTCACGCTCTTTAAAATTGCTTTTGAGTTTTTTTTTTGTAACTCGCATTGGTTCACCAGTAGGAGTCGTCAAAGGACAGTTTTTGAAAAAAACGTTTTTTTTTTAATTTTTTCTAACAAACCGCAAAAAGTAGGGAGAAAAAAGGGCTGAATCATAAAAAAAAGTTATCCAACCAATATTTAATGAATTTACAGCCATTTTTATAACTGAAAACGTAAGAAATTGATAATTACCAACTCATAATGTTATTTAGATTGATTTTTTCTATTTATTATCATTATATTTCCCTACACTAAGAAGTTTTTTAAAATTATTAATTTCTCACTTATAATGAATATGAAAACAACAGATAAATTCATAAAAAAATAGCAAAAAAGTATAAATGAAGATTATTTAATTTTTTGAAGCGAAATTTGAAATATGTTACATAACCTTCTGTATATTCCGATTAAAGTTTTGTTGTTTTTTTTTATGAATTTATGTGTTGTTTTCATATTCATTATGAGTGAGAAATCATAATAATTTTAAAAAAAGTTCTTAGTGTAGGGAAATATAATGATAATAAATAGAAAAAATCAATCTAAATAACATTATGGGTTGGTATTTATCAATTTCTTACGTTTTCAGTTATAAAAATGGCAGTAAATTCATTAAATATTGGTTGGATAACTTTTTTTTTATGAATCAGCACTTTTTTCTCACTACTTTTGGGAATTTGCTCGAAAAAATAAAAAAAAAACGATTTTTTTCAAAAATTGTCCTTTGACGACTCCTACTGGTGAATCAATGCGAGTTACAAAAAAAAACTCAAAAGCAATTTTAAAGAGCGTGAAATTCCCCATAAGGTGTATTAAACCGATTTGCAATATTGTCAAAGGTGGGTAAGCATTAGAAATTTGAAAAAAAAACCATTTTTTTTACATGCATTTTAAATGGGAAAACTTTAAATTTAAACTGCAAGTACTTAAAATTGATATTAAGAGCTCTACCTTGGTGAAATTTTTTTTTTCTATAGGTAGATTAATATTTTGCTTGAGCACCGAAAAAAAACAAAAACTTTGCGGAAATGAATCACCCTACTTTATAACCTAGAATTTCCACCTTGGTAGCCAATCACGCCTAATATAAAAAAGTGTGGTTACCTGTTTAAATATTTTTTGACATTAAAACAACATTTTTGACAGATTAAAATAAAGAAATATACACATTAGAAAGAGACTATTAACCAGATTGAATAACCAGCTTGCCGAGGTAGTTTTATGGTCTAGTAAATGTGACGTCATAGTTAAGATTTTGGAACGCACTCTAAACGCGAAAATACATTAACTATTAACCAAGGTTAAGTTTAATAACCATAGTATTTCATAGTATTTACGCAAAAAAATGCCTTATATTTTTTTACCAATTTGTTTAAACAAAAAATATTTCAGACAAAAGTTATTGGAAATTTTATAAAAAATTGAATTTTTTCCTTTTTATTGTGCAGTATACGGGGGCCGAGATTTTCGATAAAAGAAAAAAATTTATTTTTGCGTATACTTGGTAAAAAAATCAGGTGGTGCAAATTTGGTTTTAACCTTTTCAAATAGGCTCCTATCGATTCATGAAAAAAAACAGACGTTTTGAGGGCGATTTCATGATTACTAACGGGACCAACAGAAAGAAAACAAAATGTTTTATGAAAAGATGTGTTGTTCCTATAATAATAATTTTATGATAGTTCTCAGCAATAAAATTAATTAATAATAACTATCATAAAATTATTGTTATAGGAAGAACATATCTTCAAAAATAATCATAAAACATTTTGTCTTGTTTCTTTTTGTCCCGTTGGTAATCATGGAATCGCCCTTGACTGGACTACTTCAACGAACCGGTAAAACTTTGACGGGGCGTTTTAGCCTCCGTATTTCCTGATAATGCGTGCTGTAATGGTTGTCTCTGTTTAGTTCTGGCAGCTCGTTGCCGTAGGCATCGAAATGTCTAGTTAGTACTTTAACTCCTGTCAGATGAGTGTGCAATTGGGACCCGAATATTGTTATTCCGGTAGAAGGAAGGCTCTAAAATATATCAATAACAGATTAATATTGTCTATGAATGTTTGTAACTTAATACCATGGCAGTACATGCGCTGGTGCAATAGCCAAAAAGCGGAAATGATTCTTGGCCAGGTGGAATGGCCATTTTGTCTGTATACTCAAGACCCAACTCGATTACGCCGGCATCAATGTCCTTTAATATTGCTGATGTGTACATTGTTATGCCTGATGAGTCAATTTTACCTAAAAGTATTCATTATTAATATTTATTATTTAATATGTGAATAAAAACATCACTGTTTTAAAGTTTCATTATTTTATTTATGTTTTATTTAAACTTCATTAGGGTGTTTCATTTGTTTCACCATATTTCCAAAATATGGTTCAAAACATCGAAAACAACATTCCCTCAAAGTTTGAGCCCTTAACTTTGATTGTAAGTACCTTTTTCATTTTAAAGTTTTCCCATTTAAAAAGCATGTATTTTCAATTACTTTTTTTTTAATTTCTATATCTTTGCCAGGTTTTAGCTATCATATTACTAACAGAGTATTTAACGCTTTTTAAAAGAGCCTATAAGAATTTTTATCTAACTCGATTCTTTTTTTTTTTTTTTTTACTTTTTTCACTTATTTTTGAAAATATTTCCGAAAAATTTCCAAAAAAAAAATAATTTTCTACAAAAAGGTCCTTAGTGCATAAATAACAAGATATGAGTAGTTAATATTTAAAAATTTGTGTTTTTGACTATTAAATGTTCTTTTTCTCAAATACGACCAAATTTAAAGAGGAAATTGAAAAATTGATACCTTCTTTCATGGTGGTAAATTATGAATTTTGATTGTGTAATTTTTTTTAATTTAAAATATTAATCTCACAAGATTTTCAATTTTCTTAATATTATACTGCTGATACCTTGTAAACTGTGCACTTTAACAAAATAAACGTAGGGACTTTTTTCGTAGAAAATTAAATTTTTCACAACTTTTTTCTTGTAAATTTTTCGGTAAGACAAGCCATTCTCTTAATATTTTAAAAAATATGTGAAAAATAACTTTCAGAGCTGATACCATCGAGTTAGAGAAAAATTCTTATAGGCACTTTTAAATAGAGTTAAATACTCTATAAGTAACAATAAACCACAATATAATAGCTTAAAACAAGGTAAAGATATACAAATTTAAAAAAAAATGATTGAAAATCGAAATTAAGGGCTCAAACTTTGAGGGAACTTTTTTTTCGATGTTTTGAACCATATTTTGGAGATTCGGCGAAAAATAAATAGTCGTTTCAAATAAAACACCCTACTCTTCATATGCTAACCATTTAATACAAGAGAACCACAAATTTAAACTTTAGAATATTACATGTAGCCAATAAAGGCACCAAACTAAACCTTCTGGAGTCTTTGGAAATTAATAAACTAAAGAAAAAATCGGATATTGTTCTTAATGACCAAATTGAAACCAACAACTCTTCTTTGCTAAATTTATTTTAGAATGTGTAGTACTGAAAATAATATTTATTAATATTGTAAAATTATATAAGATAAGACTTTTAAAATCTATAGTTTTTCCAAAATTGTTTAAATTTAATAAAAAAAAATAATTTTCCCAACTTGCCTTTAATAAGTTCTGGATTGTTATAATGAATTTCTAGCATTAAATATTGGTTAAACTTCTCTCCTCCAATAGGCAATGAAGCTTCCTTTAAAATTATTATTAATGACTAATTTATGGTATATTTTGTTGGTACCTTGGGGTAAATAAAAGGCGGGGCCCCCATAGCCCAGGCAGCCAGAACCCTTTTACAAACTTGCGTTTCTGGGGGTCTATCTTCGCCAAAACAATTTCCACTGTACAGTGGTATGTCTCTTTTCGCATCTGTTTCGCAATGAAAAACTTCCATGTGATGCACCAAACCTTGGCTCGACTCTTCTATGTTTGATTCATACTTACAACAAATATTAATGCAGTGCTAGGTTTAAAAAAATGTGATTCTACCTGATATATGTGGTGTTTTTTCTTATACTCGTCGGGCAACTTAATTACACGGCACCAATAGGTTGTTTCCTCATTGGGAACCTTCACCTTGTCTGCCAGTATATTTAAAGGTTTCACGTGTTCCGGAAGATTTGCGTTCACTTCCGGATTTTTCAGCAAATGCACCCGGACCATTCCGGTGTCACCGCTTTTCTCCGAACTAACGTTTAAACCGTCGACCCTGTACAGGGGCCTCTTGCCTCTGGACCACACCACATGGGTTGTACCATCCTAAGATAATAATACCTCTATAATAAGATAATAATAAGATAATAATTACCTCTATAATGTAGTCCTTCAAATCACACGTATCCAATTTTCTTTTAAAAGTGTATTTAATAATTTCCTTCGTTTTCTTTATGTGAAAACCAACACAATCTTGTTTATCGTCAATGTGTAAAACCCCATCTTTATTTGCCCAAGTATCCTACATAAAAATAAAATGTTGTATAAAGAGCAACAAAAATATTTTTAAAAAATTACAAAAGGTAAGTTAACGAGGCATAACATAGTTTTTCTACGACAAAAACTTAATATTATCTAAAAAATGATTTCAATTTAATATTTGTATACAGCGACATCTATACTAAAATAAAGTAACCATCCCAATAAACATTTTTGACGTAATTGTCACCATTAACATTGACCGTTATTATTTTAATTAAACTTAACAATTATTGATACTGATGATATTGAAATATTAAAATAACTTCAAAATATGTTTATGTTAAGAAAATATTTAATTCTTTGATTTTTTGTATTACTATAATGCCAAAATATTATTACAAAGTATTAAAAATTCTTAAATTGGAAATGTTAAAGATACAAAAAGTGACAGTTGCATTTATTTGAATTCGCGTTAGAATTTCTAACTTGGAAATCTACCGGGGTAATAATGTCAAATTTTTCTGTGTAAATTAAAATTTATCCCATAAAAATAGACTAACAACCGATATGGAGGCAGTTTTTCACAGTGAAAGTGAAGAGAATGTATATTAATTTAATTTAATTTACTGCAGTACTATAGCAAAATCAAAAGGTTAAGAAACTATTTAATACTTTTGTATTGAGATAATTAATAATTTTCACATTAAGTATTATTTCACAAAGAAGGGCACTTTATTTTACCCATTATATGACATTTCACAACTGTCAACTAACTTAAAGGTAACTTTAGCCCGTGACTAAAACGCCATAAAGCCACACCTTGTCAATGTGTGTTTAAAAGGTTACTTGGTGTCATGGAAACATGTACAATAATAGGCGTTTTAAAGGTGGGAGTAGAAAACATAATTATATTTAATAAAATCAATTTTTTTGTGATAAAACTGAAATTTCTTTGGATATATGGGCGATTCTACAAAAGTTGGGCAACTTTTGACCTCATTTTGTTTATATAGTTTTCGAAGAAAATTAAACAGTATTTTGTTATGAGAACATAGATACTATATAAATATACTGTTCCAGACCGGGCCAGTCACTTTTTCAAACAGTTTCTGAAATATCTGTGTTTCCTAAATTTGAGTGCCCGGGAAGTGACGAGTATACCAGGGTACTAATTAAATACATAATTTATTGGAAAATATAAGATTTATTGCAACTTTGAGCATATTATACATTAAATATCTTAAAATCAAATACCACACATCAGTGGCGGCTGGTGGTTTTTTGTATATAGATATCTCAATTATTAGATATGGGACCCACACCAAATTTATATGAGTTTATAATGACATTAAATAAACAAGTTCTGCGCAAGCAGAATTTAAATTGAAGTTTGCGAAAAAAAGATAACCGAAACATCGAACATGGAACTGACGACACGGTACTGATGAATAGGATACAAATTTGAGATTATAATTCGGAATTCAGTATTTTACTGATATTTTTCATTAGTGGATGCTACTTATCAACAAATCGCATATAGCCTCATATAAATTACAATGAAATATATATACGTAAGAAAATAACTAGGTACTCACCACAGAACTGAAATTTTGAACTATACGTGCATTCACCACAACTTCGCCGCTTGCATTGTTTTCAAGATGACTGTCGTGAAAAGGCGGGCTCTGTAGGTAATTTTTTACCAACACTTGAGTTAAAACGAGGACTTGACGTTTAAACTTCAATATTTCGCAGAAATTTTGAATTTTAACATTGGACACAGAACTGACGGGTAAAAGTGATTACAAAGATTATCAGTTTTTTAAAAATTGCTATTATTCGAATCTATGATAAAATATGAAAAATACATTATTTAATTTTTTATAGTTTGTAGTGAAATTAAAAAATTTAAGATAAATTTAATATATTTAAAAATAAAACCATTCAAATATTTGATTCAGGAGTTGGGACACGCCAAGGCACTGATGTTTTGAATATTTATTATGTTTTTTTTCTACAAACGTGCTTTTGAAAAAATACATTAAAATTGGGTGGACAAGTTAAAAAAACCTGGATCTTTTGTAATATACTAAAATATTTACAAAAAATATTAAAATACCTACTCTATTGACTGATGACATCAAGTTGTCCAACTTTTGTAGAATCACCCATATATATATTTTGGGGAAAGTTTTAAAATTTAACAAAATATAACAACATATAAAAATCGTGTAAATTTAGAATGTATGTATATAATTTTTATTTTTTATTCGTACTTACGTGCAATTTAAATTTCCCGTTTAAATCTTGCGAAAGCAAGCAATAATCTGCTGGAAATAATTCGCCCCTATCTGAAAATCCAAGAGCAAACCAGCCATAATCTGAAGGAATGTGAATTTCAAATATAACTGTTTCAGAATTATAATCCAATGCCCAATTCATTAAAATATTATTTTCTCCGTTGAGAGATACCTTAAATACCCCATTATCTGAAATTTTTTTTTAACGAATGCCACTGAAACGAATGTTTTTTTACCTGCGGTAAAAATTGTATATCGGCACAAGATTAACAAAGTTATAAACCAGCGAAACATTTCTTTACATACAGAGGAAAACTAAAAGGAAACGGACGGCGTGTTTCGTTTAAATATTGTGAAAATCACGCATGCGCATGCCCCAGGCATCGCTATTAATTCCGGTAAACCAAGAAATTTAATTTTAATTTAAATTTGCCCTGCTCAAATTGTAAATGAATTAATAACTAATTAGAATCAACTAGTGGTTAGTTAGATATAAATATAATAAAAACTACACTCATAATTTAAAGTGTTTTTATAAAACTAAATTTTTAAAAAAGTTTGATGTTTGAATGTTTGCATTTAGAGGTCTGATTTCAAAGTTTTATAGTTTAAACGTTAACTGCCTCTCACAAATGGAATTAAAAGACAAAATCGAACGAGTTTTGGCGAAGAGAAGGAATTTAATGAAGTGTGCTTATTAGCCCATTGCGAAATTCCTCCCCTATTCAATGCATTGAGGTCGATCGTGACTCCAATAAAATGACATTCCTTAATAATCATCCCCCAACCCCACCATAGATCCGTATTTCGAGTATTATTTTATTATCTCAGTCACAAGTTATGACCTATTTATGGGATTAATTGATATTTAAAAAAGTTAAGCTTTAAAACTTATAGCAGTTGCACTAAACTGTAAATTTTCGTTCAAATTAATATATTATCGTAAAGAAAATTTAATATTTTTTGGATTTTAAACACAAAAATTATAATTTTGACAGTTGCGACATTTAAGGAACATCGCTAGTAGAGCCACCACGTGGCTGTTATCATCTTAACCAGAATTCAGCTTTTAATAAGCAGCTGTCAAACGCGTATGTTTCGAACAAGTGTTTTAGAGAATAAAGCCGAAAAATGTTAAAAATATCGGGGAAAAACCGTGGCACGATTTGTTGGGCTGTTGGTAGGGTTGGGAAAATTTCACTTTTTGCTTGTACTTGAAATTTCACTTGAAATTTTCACATTTATGAAATTTATTAAAATTTCCTAAATGTCTGAAATTTCATGAAATTTATGAAATTTATTGAAACTTTCAATAAATTTCAATCACTTTAAGTGTAATATATTAATATTGAAATAAGCCCCCTCGGTGACCATGGCAAATTGACTCTCTTACCTCCTACCCCTCTGTGGGCCCCTGACCACCAATAATATAAATAGTAAATACCTATGTTTACCACAAATTTCTTGAGATTTCCTTTTAAAATTACTAAAACTAAGAGAGATATAGCACTTTTTGGTAACCTAATGAGATTGTGCCACTTTCATTGTTTTATATTTATATATATTTATTATTTTTATATATTTTACTGAAATTTTACAAAAATTAAAGAAAATTCATCAAAATTTTATGAGCCAAAGGCATTTTTTATCCGTTTTCCGATGCAATTATAGCAAAAGTAAAAGTTTAAATTAATCATAACTTAAAAAAAAAATAAAGTCTGATTTAATTTACAAATTAAATTGGTAACTAAATTTAATTATTTAAATTAATTTATGCATATAAGTAACAATAATTACTAATAGTGTATTTAAATCCAAGCCGAACTAAACAAAAACGCCCAGACCCTTGATAACTCGTTCTTATTGGTCGATTCGGAATCTATTGTAAATTATTATTAAAGGTTCCAGGGGAGGCCGCATGTGAAATTTATGCGAAATTTTCAGTAAATTGCGAAACTTCAATGAAATTTCTGAAAGTTTCACAGGCAATGTTGAAATTTTCGAATTGAAAATTTCATTTGAAATTTTTAAAAATTTCACTTTTCCAACTAAATGAAATATTTCAAGTTTGAAACTTTAAAAGTTGAAATTTTCATTTGAAAATTTCAACTGTCCCAACCCTAGCTGTTGGGTGTTTTTCGAGAGGAAATCCTAATAAACAGTGGAAATCCCAATGAAGAAATAAATTGCATTTTGTCTCTGTAAATATAAATTGTACCTAGTAGATACAATAAATACACATTTTAGTAATGATTTACGTCAAAATTGTAAACATTTCAATTCAGTAAAAATCATGAAACAAGTAGGTACCTACTAGATACAATAAATACACATTTTAGTAATGATTTACGTGAAAATTGTAAACATTTCAAAAATCATGAAACAAATAAGTCGTCTAAATTCAGCATTTAGCATTATTAAAAGCTTTGATTAAGAAAGTCTCCACTTAACAGTAAAATACCAGGAACCGGTATTATATGTTTTATAGTATATTATGTTGCTATGAATTAATAGGTAAATTTTGTCGTTTAAAATGCAGTTGTCGGCGTTTTTTAGAGGACTCCCCCGATGGTGTTACCCCGTGATATTTAATAAAACTAAATGAGTTTGACCTACACTTTTATTGTATTTTGATCTTTCATAATTAAGTAGATATTACAGCTGAGGTTTCAGATTTTTAACCGCAATTAATTATTTTTACAAAGTTTTAAAAGTCTAAAACCTATCCTCCGTGACTGTTACTCTTTCTAGGTTAACCTATATGTTTTCAAATATCTGAGGTAGTAAAAGCATACTAAAAATATCAGTTCACTAAGTAAACTAAACACATCCAAAGCAATCGAATCAAATATAAAATATTAAAAATTAAAAGAAATAATTTTATAACCATTTATGTAGGTGTTTCTAAAATTGATTCTATCCTCCGTAAATCTGTTTTTGTTTTAAATTTTATGCAACGGATGGCGCTTTAATCATTTTAAATAAACAAAAACCTATGTTTACGACATTATGGATGCATGTGATTCCTGAAGGTCAGTTAGAATTTATATGCAGATGAGAGTGTTGCTGTTTTATAATTTTAAAAGTTTAAGTCCATTAATTTGCTATTTAAAAACCTATCCACCGTGAAGTGTAATATCTCAGTTTTTTTTTATAAATTTTGTATTTATTTTATTTTTAAAAAATATTAAGGTGTCGAAAGATACAATAACTTATTTCAAATATACAAAGGGATGTTTTAAAAAAATATATACGAAATCCTAACCTCCGTGAATCTATCTTCCGTGAAGCTCTAATATTCAAAATGTATAATTTCTTAAAATTCTTGCATTAGTGCAGAACCACTTATGTTATTACTAGAACTGGTGGCTTCCCAAAAACCCCATTCTAGACTAATTGAAACAACCAAAAATAAAAAATAATCATTTTCACTTGGGGGACATCTCAATATTTTCACCCAAATATAAAAATATTCGATTTTAAGGTTATGTTTGTACAACAATTATTTTTTGTTAATTTCTTAAAAATGTACAAACTTAAATACGTATAAATTATATTAGGTAAAGTTTTCATTAGTTAATTCTACACCAACAAATATACATACCAAATTGTATCCTTTGGCAAAACATGAATATGCAACGATTTAGTTCTTGAATTTTATTTACAATTAAAAACACAATAATTTACCATGATCACTTAGAAAAGACTTCTACCTTCCTTTTTTTTGTGAAAAAACTACTTATTTATTTAAAAATGATGTGCAGTTCGTATGCTTTAAATGCATGCTTGACAATTCTTGAATTCACACTATGCTATCGAACACCACCAGATGGCGCGCGCGTTACGATGCTTCTTTAGGGTATATCTGCCACAAATTATTTTTTTGACATTTGTTTTGTTCAAAAAAAGCGTTTTTGATTAAAAAATTAAATTTGATTTTTACTGATATTTCGATTTTTGTTGGATTTCGTAAATTTTTTGAACTTGCCACTGCGCGTGCAGATGAGTGAAAAAATAAAATAAAAAAATGTTAATTTCTAAAATCAGAATTGAAAGTATAATTTAAAACTTGATTTATATGCATTAAATTGGCAGATAATAATGAATTGATGAAAAATTCAGTTTTACGTTATAATTTGAATTAACCTTGTCAAACAAAAAAAAAATTGTTTAAAGACCATTTTTACTAAACAAGGATTCTTGATATTATTAAACCCACCGCATAAAATGAATAGGAATGTTATTGCTAGAGATGTTGTTTGCAATTTTTAGATAACTTTATTATAGTATGAAACAACAAAAATTTTAACAGGGATATCCTATTGACAACAATATTACTACTAAATAAAAAGTTAATTAACAAATAATTTGTAGAAACAACACTTAGGAACAAAGCAAAGTCAAACTGCGATATATTTTCGAACAAGTTAAACGTTTACAAATTAAATTTGAACCTTAATTACTCTTTCGTTTCAAATGGCAAAAATAGTTGTGATTCAGCGCCTCCCTGGCCGAAATTCTTTCCATGTGGTCGAATCTCAGCAGAGATTCCAGCAAATTAAATGCTTGGTCGTTGACCAGGTATTCATTTTCCGTCGTTATAAATCTCTGCCAAGATTTTTTAGCGTGCAGCCCGATCATTGCTTGCAGCTTGTTGTCCAGCTCGATGTTGTACTTTTTCAAGTAAACATTCAGCTCGTTGGTCCCCAGCACTTTCACAATTCGCACCAGTTGGTCGTAGTTGTCGTTTCCGTGGAAGAAGGGCTCCTTCCGGAAAATCATGGAGGCGAACATGCACCCCAAAGACCACATGTCCAGGGAGTAATCGTAATAGCCATAATCCACCAGCAACTCGGGCCCCTTAAAATACCTTGATGCCACCCTGACGTTGTATTCCTGCCCTGGGTGGTAGAATTCCGCCAGGCCCCAGTCAATCAAGCGAATTCTACGGCTTTCCTGATCCACTATTATATTGTGGGGCTTTACGTCCCTGTGCATTATGCCTTTGCTGTGGCAGAAATCAAGAGCTTTTATGATCTCGTACAGGTAATATCTTGTATCAGGCTCGTTGAGGGTTAAATAGATGTTTTTGAAGTCGTCATTGTGCGCCAACTGCTCGAAAACCAACGCTGGTAAATCAGAACTTGGGATGCTGACAACGGAGAGCAATTTAACAATGTTAACTCCACCTCGTAGCACATCCAAAATCTTGATTTCCCTTTTCACCTTTTTCTTGCGCACGGGCTTCAACATTTTAATGACGACGCGTTCGTTTTTCGCCTCGTGCAGCCCCTCGAAAACGATGCTGTACTTTCCGTGCCCCAACTTACGGATCAGGCTGTAATCTTCGATGTTTTCGTAGGCGGGCGTGAAGGAATCGTATTCGTAGTACGAGGTCGGTTTGTTGGCCAAAACGTCCGCATAAACGCGCGATGTCGTTCGTATTTGAGCTGGTTTTGTATCTCTAAAAACATTTTATCAGAACATGGCTATATCCCGTACATAAACCATCGAATTTTAAAATACTTACGAACAATCGCCCAAATTGGGCGAAATTAACATTTTATAGTTAAATGTTATGCAATTACTTTAATTAACAACAAGTATTGTCAAAATGACAACTCAACAAACGTGTCAATTTTAAATTATGGTTTTTGACGTTTAAAAGTTGCGGGTAGTAATAAAAAGTAAATAAAAATGGTTACCTTTCGGTATGTTTCATTATTGCTGCCGTAAATTGATCGTGTTCACACAATTTTTACACACGTAATTTTGATTTCTAAATGCCGGACGCTATCGGAATTATTTTACTTGTCAAACTTGACATTTGAAAAAAATGGCAATGGGTTTTTTCAATAAATCCTTATTATTATTAAAATTGCTCTATATATTCAAATTTATTTATTAATTTGTTCTCTTTTAATTAATGACTAGTAATTTTACTTTAAAAATATTTTTAAAACGATTGTTTTGAAAATTTGTTTAGTGGTTGCCTACCTATTAAGGGCGGCCAATTTAAAATTTAAAAACACTGTTACCAACTGTTTTGTTGTAGTAGAGTATAAAGCCTAATTCAGAACCTCGAAATTAGTGGAAAAAATTAGTATACTTATAATGGCCGTATACACAAAACTTGTTTGTCAATAAGTTTGTTCCTACCGTGCAAAAAATTCAGTTCATTTTTTATATTCGGACTCGTGTTTTTTTATTAAGTTGGTAGCTCATGCCAGTTTGATTTAGTATTTAAAAAATGGTACTTCTGCTGAAGACCTTAATTAAAAACTCTGACACTGACATACTTTTTCTATGCTGACAGTAGTATTTATTATTGACTATTTCCCTCGTCTTAATTTCCACCAATCACAAACGCGCAATTTTGAATTACAAATGGTTTCTAGGTGACTATTTCCCTCGTCTTAATTTCCATCAATCACAAACGCACAATTTTGAATTACAAATGGTTTCTAGGTAAAAAAAACTGTGTGACAGCACCTGTCAGCAGTTTTTTCGAGTTTACCCGCGGCAAAACTTGACAGCTGTTGTCACCAAAAATTGCAATTTATATTTTAATTGTTAACTGTTACTCATGAAATAGTCTTGTCAAATACCATTCTAATTTTTCCTGTAAAAAAAATCGAAAAAACACAATGCTAAGTAATATTTTTTAACAAAAAGCATTCGTGCAGGTGCAAAAATCCTCCTCTTCGACTCGGATTTTTGTTGCCACCAGCACTCACGCTTTTTGTTAAAATATCACTTAGCAACGTGTTTTTTCGATTTTTTTCGGAAAAATTAGATACCCTTATGATATTACCTACGATAATTTACTTGTTAACAACATAAATTAATTATAATATAATATCGATATAAAAAGCAGTGGGTATACCGACATCTTAGTTATTATACATGGGACCCACACAACATTTATATGAGTTTATAATGACATTAAATAACCAAGTTCGGCGCAAACAGAATTTAAATTGAAGTTTGCGAAAAAAACTTTTCCTGCCACTTCACCCGCCCCTGGCCCTCCTATTTGAGATAATTGAAATTAAAGTGGTGCAATTTATAATCTACTATAATTTATTGAAAAATTTAAAATTTTATTTAAAAAATCCAAATACTACAGATTTTATACGATTTTAAATATTTTTTTATTTTAATAAAATAAGTAATAAAAATTATTCTCAAAAACACTCGTTTGTAACACACGCGTTTGACAGCTGATTATCAAAAGTTGTACTTTTGTTACGATGATAACGGCCACGCGGTGGCGCTACTAGCGATGCTTCTTTAGCGTATACCTATTCATTAGATTGGGTAGGTTTTTTACAAACACCCTGTTCTGTAAAACACTCATTTTAAATGCTCTTTATACAAAAATACAGTTTATTATAAACGTTTTCAGAAATTATTTGTCTGTTTAACATTTAAAAAAAATATATTTGGATATAAGAAAACGTATATTTTGGTAGATATGGCGGTTAAAAGTCTTCAAAAAATCTCCATTTTGATGCAAGAAAATTTACCTATATTAAATTTTTATTAAATGTTTTGTGAAAAATTTAACCTTTTCTTTTTTTTCAAAATCTAAATATCTTTTGAAGAAAATCTAAACAGTTCCTTACTTAATTTTCTGATTTACTTTCAGTAACAATTTTAAAATTTACGAAATCTAACAAAACTCGAAAAATTAGTAAAAACCACAGACTGTGGTAAAAACCAAGTTTTTTAATTAAAAACGCTGTTTTTGAACTAAAATAAAATGTTAAAAAAAATATATATAATTTTTGGCAGATATGGCGTTTAATAAATTCCAAGTCCAATATGATCAAAAATGAGGTATTTGTAAAAAAATATTTGGTACTGCGTTACCTAGTCAAAGAAACATACATATATGTATATTAATATTTAAAAACTAATGTTAGAATATTCATATGTCATGATGATCAGTTAATAAAGTTTAAGGTAAGAACTAGAAATGATTATGCGAATTTTAAAAACTACTTGGCTTCTCCTAAACAATTATGTTACTTGATACACTTTACCTATGAGGTACATATTTTTATATCAAAATCAAGATATTTACTCTATATTTTGGAAAAATCTAAAAACTGTTTATCCATTTTCAATATATCAAGAACCAATAAAAATACCTTAAATGTTATATATTATTTATTTAGTATACATTACGTTATTATAAGTTTGTATCTTTTATATTGTTAAAACTGTTTTAATAAGGTAGGTTATTTGGGGACAGCCTTTTCAAAATAGGATCCTAATTTGAAACCCAAATAAAAAATAATTAATAGTCCATATTGTGCTCCCAATACCTACTAATTTACATAACAGAAATAAACGGTATTGAAAACTGTTATCCATTTAAACAAACTGATTCTTTCTTAAAAATATAACTGCCTATTTATTTTTATACAACATTTTATAAAAGCAATTAGCGCACGCAGTTCAGTGCACAATGAATAAAATAGCGATACAATGCATGTTTTTGTATTTTGTATACAACAATTTCGTGGTGGGCCAAAGAGAACCAAAATGTAAGTACCTATACCAAGTTTTTTTTGTAATTTGGTAGTTGTGTTATTAATTTTTTAGTTTTTGGAGTTGGTTTGGTGAGGTTTGAAAATTCTGTGTGCACCAGCGTGGGAAATATGATGGGAACATGCTATAGAAGAAGACAATGCAGCAGCATTGATGGTATATCTTCTGGATCTTGTGCCAAAGGCATTGGAGTGTGTTGTGTTGGTAAGCAAAAATATTTTTATGAATACTAATAGGGTTTTAAAATTTCCGGAAAAATTAAACCGGCGCAAAAAAGTGAATTTCCGACGCTGAATATAATCATAATATAATTATTATAATAAGTATTCCTTTTATTTTAATAGTAAGAATATTCTACCGGGTCGCGTTCTTGTTTTATTTGACACTTTGATATATTAAATAATAATTTTGTAATTTAACTTTATAAATCATTCATTATTTTGTAATTGGATAGGTATTTTTGCAAAAAATACCTAACCGACAGCATATTTAACGTTTACGTTTATTTTCTTAAATCAATTTAATTTAATTCAATGTTTAGTTTTATTTTTTTCCTGTAAGTAGGTATATTTTTTTAAGTTAATAAATTGTTAAATTTTTGATTGCTACTTTTTTCAAATGTGAATATTTTCCAAACTTTTTTTTAATCATTATTTTTTTTAAACGAGGTTTGTTTATATTTTTGTCACTTCTGTAGCCATTCCCAAAGTTTCAGATTTTTTATTTAATTTTTAAACAGTCTGATCACTTAAAAAAAATTAGAATAAATCCTAAAAAGTGATAATTTTTTCTATTTCTTTTTAAACGAGGTTTGTTTATATTTTTGTCACTGTAGCTATTCCCAAAGTTTTAGATTTTTAAATTAATTTTTAACCCAATCCCCGGCCACTTAAAAAAAATTGAAACAAATCCTAAAAAGTGGGAAAAGTTTTTTTTTCAAACAAGGTTGTTTCTTATTTTTTTATTTTTCTTAAGATCCTAAGAATCAAATTTTTAAATTAATTTTTAACCTGAGCCCTAAATCTTAAAAAAAGTGTGAAAATTTAAATCATATTTTAAGTTGTTGACTCTTCTGAAGGTATTCTAAAAGTTTCAGATTTTTAAATTAATTTGAGCCCTAACCATTTTTTTTAAATTTTAACAAATATTAAAAAAGTGGGAATAGGTAATAATTTTTGTATCAAACGGAGTTTTTTTATTTTTTTACTCTTCTGGAGGTACTCCCAAAGTTTCAGATTTTAAATTAATTTATAACATAAGCCCAAACCACTTTTCAAAAAAAAAACAGAAAAAATCCTTAAAAGAGGGAAAATATTATATTTTTTTAAACAAGGTTTTTTCTCACTTTTTAACTGTACTGAAGGTATTCCCAAAGTTTCAGATTTTTTAATTAATTTTTAACCTGACCCCCGACCACTTTTTTAAATTGGAAAAATTCCTTAAAAGTAAAAAAAAACATAATTTTTTTTCATAAAATCATAAAATAAGTGGGAAAAATCATATTTTCAAATAATTTTTTTTAAACGAGGTTTTTTCTTACTTTTTTACCCTTTAGTCCGGTCAATCTAGACATTCGAAGGTACATAAATTTACAACAAGCTGAAAATCAGTAAAATTGTTTAGAATATAATTATAAATAAAATTTCAAAGTTCCCCATAATTCCCCTGTATGGAAAATTTTTTATTCAAGGTCAAAGGTCAAAAAAATGATTTTTCGCGATTTTCGGCAAAACGGTAAATTTTATCATAAAATACCCCAGACAAATATTGTAGATAATAAAATTATCTATAAAAAATGTATCAATACTTTTTTTCTACGAGCCACCGTTTCTGAGATATAACGATTCGAAAAGTTGTAAAAGTTATAATCGTCATAATATGCACACGTTTCCACGCCACCTACGAGGTAGTGTACTTAGCGCGTTTTTTAACGTGGTTTCCCCAGTAGCCTATTCCACGGGTCAGTTGTGATCCTGTTTAATTTAAAACTATTGCAAAATAACGGAAATTAGAAATGATTGGAAAAGATAAAAGCGATGTAAATTAAAAAAAAGTACTGAAGTTAATTAGTCTGATTCGTAACATTTAAATTCTTCTTCTTATTCTTCTACTTGTTCTTGTTCTTCTTCTTCTTGTTCTTCTTCTTCTTCATCTTCATCCTGGGTACAAGTAAATTGCGTCAGTAGCGATGTATCGCATGTCACCTCGTTGGAATTAAATGAATCCTCCACTGTTGGTGATTCAACATTAGAGCACGACCGGCAATTCGTAAATACCAGAGAATAAAACAGTCCGACTTTTTTGCAACCACATTTAGCACTGCATCCCTTTTGACAGTTGCAAAAAATTGTGTTCAGCATTTTTTCCGGCGCAGGTGGGAGTAAAGTTTGAACTGGTTCGAATGGGTTGTTGACCAACTTCCAACCCCAGTCTGTAGGGTCTAGCTGATAACCAAGCCACACTTGAACTTGGTAATATACCTACCCCAAAAATATTTTGATGAGCAGCAACTGAGGTTGGAGGAAGACAAGCTAATTGAACTTGTTTTTTATTTTAGTATTTTTAACGAAACATGCATATCGATACTTATCAAAGCAGGTAGTTTTTTTAGGAGCTCCGTATATAGAAAGAAGAAATCGAATGCCGTTGGTGATAACTTCTTGTCCCGAAGCACCTTTTCCTCGAGTTTGGCGGAAGACAACGGAACGTGCCAAATTTGACGGAAAAATCGAAAAAAAGTGGACTTGGGCCTTTTCAACACTGGAAAAATTTGGTCCGCGGATAGGTCTCGTGGGCAGAAAAAAGGATGCAAATTTCGAGTGTCCGCCTTCAACGGCCTCCGAGCTACGGCGCTTAGAAAAAAAATGATATACAGACTAGCAGACAACGGAAAAAATAAATATTGCAAACGGGCCGGATCCGCCGGAAACTTTTCGATCTTTTTTTATTTTTTTCGAAAAAATTTTAAACGTTTTTTAGGGCGAGAGAAATTTTCGAAATTGGCCGAACGAAATACACGAATCGACGGGTAAAAGACCAAAGTTTGACATACTAAAAGATGAACTTCATCGAATGACAGGTGACAGGTGACAGGTGACAGATGACAGGTGACAGATGACAGGTGAGAGATGTCAAGTTGGCAGATGATAGATCATCTGTCATCTGTCACAGATGTTGTCTCGATGGCGTATAAATTAATTAATTTATACCCAGTCCCTTAAGGGACTGGGTTTTATTTCACTTGATATTCTTATAGTTATAACTTATGTATGTATATTTTATATTTTAAGTGTAAGTAAAAATGACCGATAGAAAAATATATTAACATATATTAAAACTCTAGAGATGTATATACGTGACGTACTCATGTATATTATGACGATTACAACTTTTACAACTTTTTGAATCGTTATATCTCAGAAACGGTGGCTCTTAGGAAAAAAAGTATTGATATATTTTTTATAGACAATTTTATGATCTACAATTTTCGTCAGAGATATTTTTGTGATAAAACTTCCCGTTTTGCTGAAAATCGCGAAAAACTATTTTTTTGACCTTTGACCTTGAATAAAATTTTTTCCATACAGAGGAATGATGGGGAACTTTAAAATTTTATTTATAATTATATTCTGAACAATTTTACTGATTTTCAGCCTGTTGTAAATTTATGTACCTTCACTGTTATTTTTTGGTCTAATTTGACCGGACTACTTCTAAAGGTACAGATTTTTAAAATTAAAAAAATCAAAAAATAGTGGGAAAAATCATTTAAACATGAAAAATTTCAAATCATAAATTAAATTTTTCCCGAAAAAAGACAATTTTTCCAATGCCTGAAAAAAAACGGAAAAAACAGTTTTCCCCCAATTTTTCCGGTTTTTTTCTCGACACTTAAAAACCCTAGATGCTAATTTAGCATTGCTAAATTTAAATAATTTTTTTTTCTAATAGGAACCATTTCCCAATTAATATTATATATTTATCTATGCTATCTACTTTTTATATCGGAAAAAGCTAGGTAGCTCCAGATTTAAAAAAAATAGCATAATATAAATATTAATATTAATATTAAAATGTTGTGTTTTAGTTCACAGGACCTGTGGACAGTCCTCATCCTATAATAATACATATTTTACCAACACAAACTATCCAAATTCCGATACTGGTGGGACAAGATGTACTATGACTATTATCAGATGTAATCCGGATATATGTCAGGTTAATATACAGGGGTTAACACCTGTGACACCTAAAATACAGAATACCACTTTTTAGGCAAGAATAGATTTTTTAAGTCTGTCTCTGGCTCAACCAGACGCGAACGGGTTCTGCACTACGGATGCCCTGCAAATAACCGGAGGTGCTGGCACAGTGCCGGCGATTTGCGGGGAAAATTCCGGCCAGCACATTTACGTGGACTTTAACGGGAACGACAACATTCAAATGGCGATATCGACTGCCGCGACCGCTTTAATGGGCCGAAATTGGAATTTCAAAGTCACGCAGATTGGGTGCGATTGTCCCACAAGAGGTAGAGATATAGGAAAAATAATTTAAAAGTGATACACAACTAGTGCGCTGATTTAATTTGTTCATTTTAGCCCCCAGTGGATGTTTAATGTACTACACAGCCCTTTCCGGCACTGTTAACAGTTTTAACTATGGCACAACATTAAATGCCATCAATCCACAAACAGGAGAACCAGGTAAGAATTACTAATTGAATTTATTTTACTTTACATTCCAATGGTTTCGGGAAAAAATGAATTAAATCAAAAAATATTCAAAAAAACAAGAAAAATCTTATACTTGAAAAAGGACAACTTTGGTGATAAACAAATATAAGAAATATTCCCCAACACAAAAACAAAACACAAATTGCTTAAAGTACTTTTCGTCAACGATGTTGGCATCTTCAGAAGTGAAGTGTAACTGTACTGTACTTTAAGCACTTTGCGTTTTGTTTTTGGATTTATGGCACGTCGTTTTAACATAAATTAAATAATTTTTTAATTTAAAAATTTATTGGTTTAAAATTTTTTTAACTAAAAATTGTAGGTTTAAATTTATAAATTTAAAATATTTTCAACTATCATGTATTGAAAGACAAAATTTACTAACAGTTCACTTCTGTATTAAACAATATTATTATCAATTAATTTTTGCAAACATTTCTAACCATCATTTTTTAATAAAAATAATTTTTTAAGTATAATTTATTTGGGCAGAATTTTTTAAATCTTAAATAAATATTTTATCAAATTATTTAGATTATTTTTTTAGTATTTAAAAATAGTGTTGAGACCATTGAGTAAGATAATCTTACTCAATGGTTGAGACATTTAAAATAAAAATACATATAAAACATTTTCTCCCAAAATAGTTTAAAAAGTTATTTTTTTTATACTCAAAACATTTAATATTCAAAAAATATTTTAAATATAAAATGCAAATGTAAAAGTTTAAGTTTAAAATATTGTTTTTTTAAAATGGTAGTTCTACAAAATTATTGGTTTAAATTTGTAAATAGTCATTTAAACGATAGTCGATAAATTTTTAATACAAAAATTCTCACATTACATTAATGTATTTAAATGCATTTAAATGTTATTTTGAAATTTTAAAGTGGTAATTTTTGGATTAAAAATTTATCGACTATCATTTAAATGACTCTTTACAATTGAGGGGCCTAGAAGTAAAAGGGTTTAAGTGCATTTTTGTTAGTTCTGAGTCTCAGAATCTGAGATAAATGGCTTTAAAGTTAACTTGAATTTTAAAATTCTAGAAAAGAGTTTAAAAAACTGTGTGAATATTTTAGTTTTGTTTATAGGCTAAAAAGGATTATAAAGAAAAAGAAATTTTTCAATTTAGCTTTTTTGTTAATTTTTTTTACAAAAATGTACTTGAATCGTCATGCATGAAAGACAAAATTTAGTGGTAAAATGATTTAAGTGCAATTACTGTTCTAGAACAAAACTTTATGTTTTAAAATTTGGGTAATTATAAAACTTAAGTTTTACAACAAAAAGTATTATTCATAATCAGAATCTACTACAACGTTTTCTTCATCTGAATTAGCTGGTTGACCTAAATTGGATTTTTTTTGGCTCAATACTATGGTCTTAGTTTGTTTCTTTTTTTTCTGATGGATCTCGATCGTGCTCTATGTTTTTATAAAATAAGTGGTAAATTGGCGGAATATAGTCCAATAAGGTACCTAAGTAAATTTTTGTGCTTAGCGGCTTTTTTTTAGTTTTTGCTGGAGTTACATGGCCTTCTCCTTCTACTTCTTCATTGATGTCAGGAACATAGTTACTATGTTGAATCCTCATCAGTCTGGACCGATGCCATAGTCGTTCCGACCCCGGTCACACTATGTCAAAACGAGCTACTTGTCAAGGCTTTAGCAGCATAGATAATAGCCTATGTTTAGCAGTAAAAGGTGCACTTAAATCGTTTTACCAAAGATATATTTTAAAATATTTTGACAGGTTTTTAAAGACGATAAGAAATGGCGCCAGGGAATGTAAAATGTACTTATATAATTTTACCACTAAGTTAGAATATTCTTTAGGTGTGATATTCTGCACTTAGACCATTTATTTAAAAAAGTGCACTTGAACCCTTTTACTTCCAAGCCCTTCAATTTTAAAATCTTACGTCAACTTTTAAGTTTAAAAAAATATGTATTATAATTCAAATTTGTTAAACAAAAATTAATCATTTTTTACATGTTGTCCGCAAAGAAATTTAATGACCAAAATCTTACGTGCGGGATAGGGGGGTCTACCACATCTCACCAAATCTCACTAAGGGGGAGGGGGGTCCAAATTATCAGAAAAATGACTCTCGTAATTAATGGATGTTCCTATTAGCTACGTTTACACTTTGTAAATTAAAAATTATAAGTTTTACATTTTATGTTAAAAATTGTTATAAATAAATAAATAAATAAAAAGTTTGGGTTTAAATTTTTAGAGTCATTTAAATGATGGTCGATAAATTTTTAATCAAAACATTATCACTTTAAAATTTAAAACTTACATGTGAGAATTTTTGTATTAAAAATGTATCGACTATCATTTTAATTATTTTTTACAAATTTAAACCGTTTTGTAGAATAAAATATTTAAAATATTTTTGACTATAAATTGTTTTGAGTTTAAAAAAATGTAACTTTGTAAATTTCTGTTAAAACATCATTAAGGTGCAAATCTTCAAACTGATATCTAATAAATGCTAAAGGGGGAATATTACTTATATTTGTTTAAGAAAAATCTTGTTGTAGGAACTAAAGAATTGGTTTTCGAAAACTACGGAGTTTGTATCTCGATGGCGCCCGGATACTGCTCCATAGAGTGGAGTCAAGCGGGCCCGAATTCCTTTATTACTACCGGAAGTCCGAGCGAGGAACCCGGAACTTATCCTCCGGACGAATGTCTGTCGGATTTCGTCGTCATTCCGAACCCCTATTATCCGAATGGAACGGCCGTAGGGGGGGATAGGTTTTGTGGAACGGCTTTCCCAACTGTTATAAGTAAGTTTTTTTACTATACCAGAACTCGCGTCACAGATAAAAAGGGAACGTGCCGAAAGTTATGCGAAACACATACCTGAAAATTGAAATTATCTAGGATACTTAGGATGCATTGTTGATATTATAATATGTAAAAATATTTGGTCAACTGTAATCCACTTCATTGTGACACTGATGTCAATTTGTTCCTGTCATTATTTATCATGTAAAGTTGTTCTGCTTTGTAACAAAATTGAAGGTGCTCTCATTTGATTACACTATTACCTAAAAAATATTTTTAAATATGGTATTTCCATTGCTATCATCCCGTCCCCTTTTTTCTGTGGCGCGAGTTCTGCCCTGGCGAAAATGAAATGTGCAAAAAGTGTGCAAAATTATTTGAGAACAATGTGCCAACAATGTGCAATCTTTTAAAAAAATGATGTGCGGAGGGTGGGAAATGGAACATGAAACAGTGTGCAAAACCAAAAATTTAAAAGTGTGACTGGACAATGTTCTAAAGGGAACTCTTTTTGATTTTTCACATTGTTTGCACACTGTTTCTTGCCACCTGTATGCCTATTACAAAAACATATTCTTTTTGGTGACATATAAAGACTTAAGTCTTTTAAATTTACACATAATATTAATCAAATAAATATTTTTAACAAAAAAATTAAAAAAAAAACCCGCAATGTAGGTCCTACATACTGTATTTTATTAAGAAAAATACCTGCACTGTCAACTCCATGAAGGGGATTGCTTTGATCTTGGCAATAGGCCGAGAAGCGATACATAAGATGGAATCTACCTCACCTTTTAAATAAATGTTGTACACCAACTCAAGCGAGCCCAAGCAACAATTTAAGTATTTGTTACGTATATGGGACTATTGAAGAAACTTTAAAGTGTTTTGCGACAGTCGCCGGTCTCTTTATATTACTCTTTCATTACTAAGTTACGACTAAAGTGGGGAACAATTATTGAGTTCCAAAAAGGTAGCAAATATGTCACTAGCTATAAACCCTGCTACTATTTGGAACGTAGCTGCTACGTTACTAGAACGTTCCAATATCGTTGCTAGAGCGTTATAATTACTTTTATTATTTGTTTTTACTTCTATATTAACTGTCTTTGTCAAACTTATATTAGATTATACTATCCCTCCTTTTTTAAATGAAACCACTACGGACTTGGCTTTTCAATGTCGTCGTTTATTAAATATGTACTGGTAGTTTATAACTTCCAGAATAACAATATTATGTTTATAATTATAATTAGACAGGTAGATTTATAAATCCTTTAAATTTTACTGTTGAACTTATGAATTTAGTTTTTGTAAAATAAATGCGCTTCATCAATATTTAAGTATAAACAAATTATTTATTTAGTAATGTTTATAAATAAAAAAATCTTAATATTTATTATTATTTTTTTAATTTAATTATTAATACCGTCTATTACCAACAAAATTACTATTTATTAAAAAGTAAACAACCATTTACAAACAATTAAAATAATTTATTATTTACATTACCACGTGGTACTGTACAGTAAAAAATGGCCGATAAGAAGCATTTTCCTTTGAAGTAGTTTTCGCTACTTTTAATTTTTTTTCCACTTTACGGTTGTTTTGGTTAGTACCATAAACGTTACAAATACTAAAATAATAACTTTTAAGTTATTAACTTTGTAGTTTTTAACTCATGTTCCAGTTTCGAGATTTTAACTTGCAAAGGGACTACAAAGTAAAAATAATTATAATGTAATCTTTAGGTAGCAACCGAAAGTAACTGCTACAAATTAAATTTACTTTAAAGTTTTTTTTACTTATAACACCTTTTTTAAGGTTGCAAAGTCTTCTTGGGGGCAACCAAGTTTTACTTAAATGTTTATTACTTTATAATAACCATTTAAGGAAAAATTAAGTTTCTGTTACAAAATATTGCTATTTAAAAGTTAGAGTTACTTTTAAGTAAAAATTAAAGTAGCTGTTTAGTATAATTAACTAATTTAAAGTTATCACCACTTTGGCAATGTTTTTGGAACCAAAAATGCTGCTTGGGAGATATATCTAAAATGTGCTTAAACTGTTGAGTGATTGCTAAAACTGTACAAACAATGTGCTATAAAAAGGTGTAATATAAGCGTCATAATTGAGAAATATTAAAGCGTGCTAACAGTGTGTATAAAATGCGTAAGATAGACTGAAGCTTTGCAAAATGTCTTTAAACAATGTACTAACACTGTGCAAACAATGTGCTAAAATATAATGTAATATAAGCGTGACATATGACAAATAAAAAGCGTGATGTCAATGTACATAAAGAGTAAAAAAACTTAATTATTTCAAAAAGTGTGAAATTACCACAAAGTAGCGTGTATGCACATTGTTATAAAGACTCCAAATACACACTTATTGTACACTTTTCATGCACGCTTTATTTTCGCCAGGGTGGGACACTATATTATAATATTTACTTTAAATTAATTTTTATAGCATCTTCAAAACCCTTTGTTTTGACGGTAGTGACAAATGGAAATGAAACTGGAGATCAAGGAAATATTGGATTTTCTTTAAATTATAGACAACTCCCATGTACTACCGGCCTCACCCAAATGAATATTGGATAAAATTGTTTCAAATTAAATTATTATAAATTTTTAAAAGTACCTATATCTGATTTTTATTTACTATAAAAATACAACATACAAAATAACCATATAACTGTAAAAATTTAAATATGCACAAATATTGGCCTGTTACTCTAACACAGTTTCAAATACATATTTACCAAATTAATTAACACTTTTCAGCCCAAATTTTTCAAGGAACCGCTATGTAATTAAACATTTTAATTAAAAAAATTTAAACCATTTATATTTAGATACGATTTTTATTTTCCAATTTACAATGAACGCGAACAGTTCTTTTTTATTTTTACCAATAGTTACTGCTTTGTTGGTAAATTTCACATCTTGTTCAGAGTTGGCCAAATCAAAACGAACTGGAAAATGTAAGTTACTAAAATCTATTTTAGTCACGAATTTTAATTAGGCAATGTACTTAACTTTTTCTACGGCAAATACTTAATATAATCAAAAAAATGATTTAAATTAAATATTTGTATAAGCGACATCTTTTAACAGAAAAAGTGAAGAGAATGTTTTAGGGGCACTGCACGCAAAATTTTTAATGCTCTATCAGTTAAGTACAAACGTTCACATGATCTTTTCAAATATTGGCGTCAAGAAACTATTTAATACTTTTGTATTGAGATACTAAAATAATTTTTACGTTTAGTTTTATTTTACAAAGAAGGGCACTTTATTTTACCGATTATATGAAATTTGAAAACTGTCAACTAACTTTAGCCCGTGACTAAAAACCTGTTGGTGACTTTAGCCTGTCACTAAACACCAAAAGCCCTAGCTCGTCAATGTGTATTAAAAAGATCACTTAGTGTACGATAATGGGCGTTTTATAGGTGGGAGTAGACAAATATAATTACAGACTTTTTATAGTTTTTGGTGTGGGTTTGGTACGTTTCGAAAATGGCATTTGCACGAGTTTGGACGGTTTAAAAGGTACGTGTTTAACTAGAAGACAATGCAGGAAAATTGATGGCATAGGATCTTCACCATGTGCAAAGGGAATTGGTGTTTGTTGCATGGGTATGTTCCCGTCATAAAAGTAGCATTATAAATTTTAAAACTCAAATTTTAGTGCAAAAAAGTTGCGGGGAAAAAACATCCCAAAACAATACCTACTTTGTTAGCCCAATAACTGATTCGAGTACTTGTACTTTGACAATAGAAAAGGAGAGCTCGGATATTTGCCAAGTAAGTACTGAACGTGTTTTTAATGGAAATAGGAAATAACTAATGGTATATTAATATTAATAATAGTATATTATCTAAAAAATGATTTAAATTAAATATTTGTATAAGGCGACATTTATACGGAAATAACCATTCCACTTTATTTTACCTATTATATGACATTTGACAACTGTCAACTAACTTCAGCCCGTGACTAAAATGCCATAAAGCCAAAGCTCAGTCAATGTGTATTTAAAATATCACTTATAAGTGATATTTTATAGTATATTATGTATCAAGTTTGATAAACGCCATTTTATACACAAATTTAATTTAGGCACAAGCGAGCTTGCGAGCGAGTGCTTAAATTAATAAGTGTATAGAACAGTGGCGGCTGGTGAATTTTATGTATACCAATATCTTAGTTATTAGACATGGGACCCACAACAAATTTATAATAGTTTATAATGACATTAAATAAACAAGTTCGGCGCAAACAGAATTTAAATTGAAGTTTGCGAAAAAAAGTTAGTTTTTCCTGTTGCCTCACCCGCCTCCAGGCCCCCCTATTTGAGATAATTCAAATTAAAGTGGTGCAATTTATTATCTACTATAATTTATCGACAAATTTAAAATTTTATTTAAAAAATCCAAATATTACAGATTTATTCAATTTAAAATTTTTATTATTTATTTTATTAAAATAAAAAAATATTTAAAATGGTATAAAACCTGTTATATTTGGATTTTAAATTTGTCAATAAATTATAGTTATATATATTTATTAACTCAATTATAAAGGTTATAAATCGAAATGTATTTCTTGAAAATTGACAGTTTTTCACAGTGAAAGTAAAGAAAATATTTTATAAGCACTTTACAGTGGAGTCCGTGCCCGAATTTAAGTTATAGTTTACTGCCGGCGAAATTAAAAGGTCAGTATACTGATTGTATACAATGTTCATATAAAATTTTCAAATATTGGCGTTGAGAAACTATTTAATACTTTTCTATTTTTGTATTGAGATAATAAAATAATTTTCACATTTAGTATTATTTTACAGAAAAGGCACTTTATTTTAACGATTGTATGACATTTGACAACTGTCAGCTAACTTAAAACTAACTTCAGTCCGTGACTAAAAACCTGTTGCTAACTTCAGCCCGTGACTAAAGCGCCGTAAAGCCACAACTTGTCAATGTGTATTTAAAAGGTCACTTAGTGTCATGGAAACATGTACGATAAAGGGCGTTTTAAAGGTGGGAGTAGAAAAAGTAAGTTAAAGTATAATTATTTTAGGCAAGAATCGAATTTTTAACGTTAAACCTTGCCCAACCAGATGCCAATGGAGACTGCGTGTCTGACGCGTTGGTTGTAAATGGAGGAGCATCACGTGTACCTGTAATATGCGGAGAAAATAGCGGGCAACACATCTACGTTGATTTTGATAAAGACGCAGATATTCAACTGGCAGTTTACGCAGGATCTTCAACATTGACGGCCAAACGATGGAACATAAAAGTTTCCCAGATTGCATGCAATTGTCCATGGAAAGGTAAAGGATTCAAATCAATTGACTTCTTACACTGAGAAAACATGGGACAAATAAACTGTGTAGCTAATACTTTTTATTAATAGTGAATATTAGGGTCATTTTTGAGCAACTTTTTTTTTCAACTAAAAAACAGGCTAAAAACTTTCAGGAAGGTGAAAAAAGAAGCCTCTAAAAATTTGAGCTCTTAATAATAACATTAAGTGGTGCCTGTTCCTAACTTTCCATTTAAATAACATGGAAAAAAAAATTCTTTTTTCTTATTTTTGTATCTTGACATTTAAGCATTAAAAAAAACGAACTGAAACATTATTTTGGTAAGAAATTGAACGCTCTACAAAAAAGTACTAATTTATTTTTTCATAGAGTAAGCCGTTCTGAAGATATTCAAACTTGCAAATGTATGAAATTATGACTTAAATAATAAATAAATAAAGTTTTTATTGCATATTCAGTACAATACAGAACATATAATACAAAACATACAAAAGGCCATCGACCGGGGTCCTTCAGCCTGAATATGACTTATTTCATTAAACTAATACTTTTTTTGTCTTAAAAATTATATTTAGAAAAAATAATTATTTTCGTATAGAAAGAAAATAACACTTACATCTCAATTTTTTTTCCATTTTATTTTATTTACTATCAAAAAAAGTTATTTGTGTTCAATAAATTTGTTCAATAATTATAATAGATTAAATAAAACAATTAATTTGTTATTGTATTGAATTAAAAATTATCTTTCTTTATTTTTTATAATTTTAAAGTCGATAACTCTGATAAAAGATTACCGTTCGGATTACACAGGGACTAGAGGCACGCTAATGTTAAATGTCAATGTTAAAGGCAACTTTAAGTTTGAATATAATTAAACTTTTTTGTAGAGCGTTCAATTTCCTACCAAAATAATTTTTCAGATCGTTTTTACAATGCTCAAATGTCATGCTACAAAAATAAGAAAAAAGAAAAAAAATTTCCATGTTATTTAAATGGAAAATGGAAAGTTAGGAACAGGCACCACTTAATGTTAATATTAAGAGCTCAAATTTTTAGAGGTTTCTTTTTTCACCTTCCTGAAAGTTTTTAGCCTGTTTTTTAGTTGAAAAAAAAAAGTTGCTTAGAAATATTTTGTCATATGACATATGACACACCCTAGTGAATATATTGTTTATTACCTCTAAATAGTCGAAATAATAACGATAAATTTACTTTAGTAAAACTTTGTGTCAGGAATAAAAATATATTTAGGATAAATAAACAATGCTTCTGTCCCATATTTAATTATTCTTTTTATTTGGAAGTGTAGACTTAAGTCTAAGAATATCTACAAACTTTCTTTGTAGCACCATCAGGTTGCTTGATGTACCACACCGAACTCTCAGGTACGATAAAAAGCCTTAATTTCGGAACCACAAGCACCTCGAACGGGACCAGACAAATAGCCAACGAAAACTACGGGGTGTGCATAAGCGAACGTCCAGGTTACTGCTCGATTCGATATGCCGCAAACGCGGGAACGTATTCCTTCGCAGTTTCAAATAACACAAACCTGGCAGCTTCGGAGGTCGGTGCGGGGACCGAAGCTGCAGCTTTGACTGGATGTAACTGCACGAGTGATTTTATTGTGATACCGAATCCACAGTACGAAAATGGGACCCAATTGGGTAGCGATAGGTTTTGTGGAAATGGATTTGTTACTGTTACAAGTAAGTAGGGTATTAAAGTGTCGGAAAAAACCGGAAACATTGGGGAAAAACCTGTTTTCCGGTTTTCCCCAAGCCTTGGAAAAATTGTCTTTTTTTTTGGAAAAAATGATTTTTTTTTGAAAAATATAAACATTTGGAAAAAAGTAGTAATCAACAACCTAACATTTTTTCTCAATATGAGGGTAAGAGAAAGTTAAATTGACAACAAGCGCAACAATTCATTTCCTACCTTCCTTTTATTACACTAGTTTACAGCCATTTTGCCCACCATGTCTCACTATGATTTTCTTGTGTAGTTTGGCTCACTAAACGCGAAAAGGTCGAAAATGTACATATCTTTCTGGGAAAGATAGAAATCGATAATTCCAGTTTGATTTATTTTATGTATAGATTATAGGAAAGAAATAAGCTGCTTTTGATAAAAATTTATGGATAAATGGCGAAGTTATGAATTTTTCAGTGGAAGAGCAAAATTGAGTTTTTCGAGAATTTTTACGTTTTTTCTTAATTTTATTGAATTATATAAAATTAAATGTTTAAACATTAAATATTGAAATTAAATTTTATATTGACACAATATAACAATAACAATAAAAAGTGTCAAATGAGTAAAACAATATTCAATATTTATAAATATTAAATATTGTTTTACTCATTTTACACTTTTTATTAACTAAATAAAACCATGATAAAAATACCTTGTTGAAATATTAAAAAATAGCAGTAAAATGCCAGAAACAAAAGAATTCACGTTTGCGGAGTCATGTCAAATTTAAATTTTGAATAATGTTTTCGGTGAAAAAAGTACGTTAACAACACTTTACTTAGGTTTTCATTAAGGAATAAAAATCGTCAAAAAGCTGAATTTTGGTGTTCCACTAAAAAATTCATAACTTTTACCATTTTTCCATGTATTTTTATCAACATTAGCTTGTTTTTGTAAAAATGTCAGCTTCACGAAAACAATTCAAACTGGAGTTATCTTTTTGATTTAAACCCTTCCCAGGACTATATATAAATTTTCGACCTCAATTTTTGGTATGAAAACGAATTTTTTAAGTTATTAAAATCGCTAGCGTCAAAATACTTATCCGATATCAAAAGTATGTAAAAAAAAATTTTAGATTGCTCAAATAACTTCAATTTACGGGCTTGTTTGACCAAATCGATCAATTAGATTTCAAGCTATACTCAAAAAAACCTCAGAAAATTGAAAAAAAAACAATTGAAAATTCATATTTTCCGTAAAAAAACTAGTGTTATTTTTCAAAATATTTTTTATTTAATTGAATTAACTTAACTTACGCTATACCGAATTTTACATTTTTATAATGTGATAGGAAACAACATGCAAAATGCAATACAGGTAATAAAACCGCACGCCCGCTTTAAATTGTCCCAAAGTAAAACAAATCTCAAAACTGCTTTTTTTACTTGTGACACTTTTAAAGCAGGTTTCCGATACAATTGTGTTTTAATTTGTATTATTAGTAAGAACTTATGCAAGCTGTTAAAAAATGGAGGTTAGGGTGACAAGTTATCCTATACCCATAAGGGTATACCCATAAGTACCCAACAGAAATTGGGTATACCAAAAAATTGCCTTTACTTACCGTTTTTTATTTTCATTTTATTCTTTCTCTGCCAGATCTTAAAATTTAAAAAGTAAAAAAGTCAATTTTACTGAAAAATATCCCAAAGTACAACAAATATTTTTTTACACTTCTTTCAACAAAAATTACTTTTTTTTAGCTGAATCAAAACCGTTTGTATTAAGAGTGGTTACAGATGGAAACGAGGTAAACGACGGTGGAAATCGTGGATTTTCCCTGCAATACACTCAACAAATACTGCAAAAATAACATTTTAGGTTAGGTTTATAATTTTTGACAACAATAAAAGATTTATTTTACAACACAATAAATACATAATACTCGTAAAAAAATCGTATTTTATAATTAATAAAAACACATTTTTAAACATTTAATTAAATAAACTTTGAGCCTTCATGATTCCCCACAGCCTCCTTCATCGAAGAATACCACTTATCAATCTTGGTATTTTGTTGCAAGTCCCTGAAAGCTATGCAACCCTCAATGCTGTTCAGCACGCCGAAAACCGCCAAATCGGCCAAATTCGGGGCATCACCGCCCATAAACGCCGTTCCCTTCTTGTTAACAGCCCTCACCCACTTGTTGCACTCGTCGTACAGAGATTGCCTGACGTCGTCTTTGAGATTGTGTCTGCGTTTTAATCGCTTGCCGATGAGCCACATCGCGCCCGCTCCCACGTAAACGATGAGGTTTCTTTCCCACGACGGGAAATTCGCTTCCCACTCTCCCACCTCCGAGAACCAATTGAACGCCTGCAGCGCTTCGTCTTTGTTTCTGTACACGTTCGGAGATAGCGTGTGCACTAAAACGTCGTCCGCCCATTTCCGCCATTTTCTTTCTTCCCTGAAATAAGCGATTTGTGCACACAAATACAAAATTACAAAATGGAAAAGCACAAAAAAATCATTCAGAAAAAATCATTGCATTTTAATAAAAATTATTTTATGGGAGTATAAAAAGTATCCCAGCAAACACAAAGGTTCAATAATGGCCCTTTATAAACGTGCCTTTAATGAACCAAAGGTCCTATAAAGGCTAACTCTAATGGAACTGTGCATAGTATGACGCGTTCACCTTTAATGGACATTTAACGGCAGTCAATAAAGGTACCATTTTTGAGGCGCGCTAAAGGTTCTCATATGACAGAATAAAGGTACAAATGTAGCAAGCTTAGTGTTGCAAAGTTCGGTCGAAAAGTTGGAAAAGTTCGGCACCCCCTATGAAAAGTTGGAAAAGTTATTAGGTGGGAGCCAATAAACAATGAGTTGACTTCTAACCAGTGTTTCCACTACCATACTTTTTTTTGGTAAATAATTTGGTCAAAATTCGATATAAATCGCTAGATTTGAAGTGTTTTTAGTAAAACATGCTAAAAGCATTGTTTTCTGGAATAACATTGTGTCAAACTTTATCAAAAATGGTGTCTGCTAACAGCATTTTCTATTATTTAAAGATTGTTTTATTATAACGTATTTTAAATTTATACACAGTATGAAAAAAATATTATTTTTTTTAATTATGGAAATTTGCAAGTGAAAATATAAAAGTAGAAAAGAAGAAAGTTTTCTTTTCTTTTTCTTTTTAAATTTTTACTTGTAAATTTCCATAATTTTTAACAACAATAAATTTAATAATTTTTGCTTCATATTTTTTTGTAATTATTTTTTATTTCGTATGTGTTTTGTATATAAATTTCTATTCTTTTTTAATTAAAAAATATGATTTTTTTAATTCAAACCTAGTTTATTTTTGTTGTTATTATGTTGTCTGTTCATTTTATTTTGTTTGATTTTTTTTTTGTTATTTTGTTAAGTATACATATATGTATAAATACATAAGAAATAAATTATTTTAATACATTGACAAGCATTATTTATGTTTTATACGTTTACATTACAAAAAACTTTTCCGAACTTTTCCGAAAAATAAAACCCAACTTTTAAAAAATTTCAACTTTTCATGAAAAGTTGCAACCCTAAGCAAGCTAAAGTTTCTGATATGGGGTGTTAAAGATTCTATAGTGGTTATTTAAATAATTTTTAATAGATATCTATTAAAAATTATTTAAATAGTATGGTGGATTAAATGTGGTAGGTATATATTTATTAGATAAGGATATTCCACGATAATCAGAAATTGTTATCCCTACCGTCACAATACAATTTCTGACGGTCGGGATAAAAATTTCCGATTATCGTGGAATATCCGACCCAATAATAATAATTATTATTATTGGGTCGGATATTCCACGATAATCGGAAATTTTTATCCCGAATTATAATTTATTATTGCCAAAAAATACAAAATCCTTGCACGGGTTAGATGGATAGAAAATTACAATATATAAATATATAAAAATACAAGTAGACATATTAATTGTTATAAAATGATTAAAATAAAAAAGTACAAAAATATAAAACATCACACATTTAAATCAAAAGTTGTTGGATAGAAACTAGAAGACTATTAACACCTATTTTATGTCGGACCGATTTCTAGCATACTCATGTATCATATCATGAGTGGAGTAACTATGTAAGTTTTTCTTTATATACAACAAACATTCCAATATATAAAGACAAGGTAGTGTTAACATTTCTAAAGATTTAAAAAATGGTCTACAGTCCTCTCGGTAGCCAATACAGGACACAATTCTGATAGCTCTTCTTTGCAGGCCAAAGATGCGCAATCTAGGATTTGAATGACCCCATATCAAAATACCGTATCTCAATAAAGACTCAATCAGGAAAAAATAAACACTTCTTACTATCATCAGCAAACAGAACAACTTTGTTGGCTAAGGACAATTAATTCGGCAAATTATTTACAAAAATGAGAAACAATAAAGGCCCTAGTATGGAGCCTTGAGGTACCCCACTTTCTATATACAAGGTTTTGGAAGATAAGGTTTCCATTGAAACATATTGAGTCCTCTGTGCCAAATATGATGACAATAAACGACAACTATATAAATTTAAACAAACCACATTTAATCATATATTATATCACAAGAACTATAAATTTAATCGGTTAAACTAGGCTCAGTAGTTTTTTGTTTGGTTTTTCTTGGAAAATGTTGAATGCAAAATAATTTAATAAAATCACGAGACCGCGTAGCGTTCGAGGGGTTTTATTTTTAATTATTTTGCATGAAACTATTTTCCAAAAAAAAAAATCAAATAAAAAACTTACTGGGCATAGTTTGACAGATTAAATTTATAGGTTGAGTGATATACGTCTAGATTATTTCTCGAATTAAAGAAAACTATTTGAAAATTCATAAAATCTGACGTATGTGTCAAAATTTATAAATATTTATTTTAATTTAAGGTAGGTATGTAATAAGTAATAATTGATATTTCGTAAACTAGATAACTTATTTTTTATTGTTTTTTAAAAAATGTTTGTTAAAACTTGTAAATAACACCATAAAATCGTAAACAAAAATCCAATATGGAGGCTAAAATTTAATCGCTGTTAAATAGTTCTAGTGATTTAATCGCTTATTTAAACGAAATTTATTCGAAAATTCAAGGCTTTTGATTGGTTCATATTATAATGAGGGAAATAATCCACCATAATAAATACTTGTAACTGTTTATTAGGTAATAAATGAAAACCATAATATTTAAATAAATAAAAACCATAATATTTAAATAAATAAAAAAATCCTTAAACTAAATAGAAAATTTTTAAATTTAAAATATATATTTACAAATAAAATTACTTGTTTTTTTTGGTATATTATACATTATTAATTTCCAATTTTAATCTTATCAATTAAACCTTTCTACTAAATTTTTTGTTGGTATTTTGATTAATAAGAGTTCTAAAATTTGTTAAATTAAAAATACACCTACTTACTTATTTAAATTTAACAACCATAAGGTATTATTATTATTATTATTTTTTATGTGGTACCTATAACACACCATTATAACTATAGGAATTACAATGGATCATTTTTAAAATATGGCTCTAACCAAAGGATAATTAAATCATGTAAGTTTTATAAACAAAAAACACTTAAATGGTTTTTTCTACTACCTCACTAGAAAACTTAATTTTCCACCCCCAAGCGAGGGAGGAAAATACCCTTTTCCTCCCCAGGAGGAAAATCAGTTTCCTCCCTTGAATATTTAATGCCCTTCGCTTCGCGTCGGGCATCAAACTATTCGCGGGAGGAAAAGCACTATTTTCCTCTCATGGTATGTAAATAGCTATGGGCCTTTATGGTAAAATATACAAATATTAGCCTAAACAGGGCCATTGCAAGACCTTATCACGACAGTCTTTTTATCAAAATTAATGTTTTTATTAAAACTTTCCTGTAAAGGACCAAGGAAAACTGGCTACAAATACTATTATTAAGCTATGAAATCATGTAATGGGAAATTACGTATGTCAGACATGTGTTTGCTGGGTAGGTACTATTTACATGTGTGACATTTTTACTTGATACTATGATAAAATGACAATATTTTTATAAAAATGTAAAATTTAATAAAATTTAAAGAATTAAAAAAAAAAAAAAAAATTTATAATATTTAAAGATAACAAAAAAAATACTTACCCCAATTCTTTGTCACTATATTTCTGTATACTGGGATTGTCCAACATTAAAAAGTATCTGTTCATTATTTCATTCTTTCTTACACCATTATCATCGTAAAACTCTATGGAGGGAAAATATTTAACAATTTCTGGTAATTCCTTTTTGTTATCTTTTAAATATGACGCTAAAGCTGATATAATCATTGTGCTATCATTTAAAGGCTAAAAAATGGTTTTATTAACAAAATTAAATTTAATTGATAAACATATGTAATAAAATAAATAAATAAATAACGTATTTATTAATCCTTATGTAAATACATACTATGTAAGGTTACAACAAAGATTAAATGGCCAATGACCGAGGTCCTTCAGCCAAATGCGCTTAATTTTAAATTGATAATATATAATAATAATGACAATGGTAATGTTATATGTAATATTATACCTGATATCCATCATTTTCCTCTGCAACTAAAATAGGTACTTTTTTATAAGTGGACCATTTAATAGATTGCCTTAATACAGGATCAACTTCGACAATATCATAAGAAATACCATAATAATCTAAAAACGCCCTTACTTTACAACAAAATGGGCAAGTTTGATATTGATATAAGGTTAACTTTAATCCGCTATTATCTCCTGGAATTCGTATCTTAAAATAATTATTAATACATTCTTAATAACATCCCACTATCATAACTTACAGATCGAGATGCTTTAATTTTGGGCACATCTTTAATCATTTCTACAACATTTTGCTCGTTAAGTATGTGACCTCTGGGTTTATTCTGCTGGTGAATTGTGTAGCCGGTGCCTACCAGCGCTCCCATTGTGACCCCCACAGCACTAACTTTTAAAGCGCTTTTTACGAAACTTGGGGTCTCTTTCGAAGCATATTTGCGACATGTCACCAACTGAAAACCGTTCAATATATTTTTCGAATGCAACCGGCCTATTCCCTTCGATAACAGCGACATTTTCACCGAAATAAACCAATTTACATAACCTTACTTTTTGACGTTTCTTTTTGACACATGACATTTCTTTAAGGTCTTTTTACACTGCGGTCTGAAAACCTTGCAGACAATAGCAATATTATTGAAATAATTAAATTTATATGAGATAATTTATAGTATTTAAACAATTATTTTAATAAATTAACACAAATCTGCCATTTTTATATGATATATTTGAATTACAATAAAATATTATTGCAACCACGTAAATGTAAACCCACCTTTACTTCAGTGCCATCTATCATGTAAAGTCTAAACTCGCTAATACATTGTGATTTTTACAGTATAACCTCAAAATATTTGAGATTAATTTAAAAAATATTGAATATCCCGTTCAATTGCATTTAATTGGAAAATGTTTAAGGTGTATAATAAGTGTAGTTTGTTAAGAAAAAATAATTGCCATGTGCCGGTTGTATCGTGTTATAATAAACTATTTAAATCGACATTAAGTAATAGTGCCGGTAAGTGTTTTTACTATAAAAATACGCTATGTTGCTAATAGATGGCGCAACGTGTTTTAAATAAAATAATTTTAAGATTTTAAATTTTATTATTGTATCCTAGGTTTGGATGCTGGATATGTTCCTAGTAAAGTGGAAACAAATAATAACACAACAAAATATTTCGAACCACCTTTAAAGTCTTCAGAATGCTTTACTTTAATTTTGCCACCTCCCAATATTACTGGAACTTTGCATTTAGGACATGCTCTTACAGCTACCATACAGGATGTAATGGTCCGATGGTAATACAATATTTCGCCTATGCAGGTTTTTAAAAATATTATTTATATAGGTACCTACCGGGTGTATCTGAGAATAGGCGCACCACTGTAACTTTTTTATTTATAAATATACACACTTGAAATTTTGCATGTATATAAAATGCAACTTATAAGAGTACAAAATGAATTTTTTTAACTTCCAGTTTCGCCGGAAATGATACCAACTTTAGATTTTTAAATGGAATGCCCTATATATTTTTACATATTTGTAATCCTAAGAAAATTCTGAGTCAGAGAGCATCCTCAAATTGACCTTTTGACGTTTCGTCATCAGAAAATGTATCATCATAAAGATCAATCTAGAGTGCTTTGAACTATCTTATTTTCTTCTAATGGATTCACACAATGCCTGAAAAATGGAACTTGCCTTAGAAAGTTGGTATTTAATTAGCTATTCCCAGCAGTTTAAACTTGTCAAAATTCGTTTTTCTCAAATAGTTCAAAGCACTCTAGATTGATCTTTATGATGACGAAACGTCGAAAGGTCAATTTGAGGATGCTGTCCGACTCAGAATTTTCTCAGGATTCTAAATATGTAAAAATATGTAGGGCGTTCCATTTAAAAATCGAAAGTTTATATCATTTCCGGCGAAACCGGAAGTTCAAAAAATTCATTTTGTACTCTTATAAGTGGCATTTTATATCCTAATTAAGTTACAGGGGTGCGCCTATTCTTAAGAATTAATTAGATACACCCGGTATATTGTCCAATATATAGGTGGTTTAGCTAAACCACCTATACATTGGAAAATAACCATAAATAAACAGATTTTAAAAATGTTATAATGACACAAAAATATCAAAATAGAAACATATGAAAACTTGATAAAGCAAATTTAGGAAAACCTTAAAAATAGAGAATTCTAAGCAAATATAAAAATCAAAAAATAGCTCCATACATTTATAGAAAAACAATAAAAAATAGAACAAAATAAGATGTAATAATAAAAAATAAGCAAGTATCAACAATTAAAATATAAATATATTTTTTTTAATATTCTTTAATTTTTACTAAAAAAAATGAAGTAAAAATATTGAAAAACAAGTAGGTATACCTAAATATAAAATCTTTGCAAAATCTTTATAAATAATAATTTTATATATAAAAAGTATGAAAAATCGTATCTTATAAAACAAACGAAAAATATAATAAAGTGTAAAAATAACACAAAAGTATCAAAACCGTATTAAAATTAAAAAAATATGACAAACAAATACAAATAAGCATTAGTGCCATTTTTTTAATAAAAAAATCATTAAAATATAGAAAATCCTACTATATGTATAAAAAAATAACAAAAAACATAACAAATTGTGTAAATTACTGTAAAAATCATTGACTAACAAAATAAAAATTATATAAAAACCATAATTAAAAATTTAAATATGTCATAGGTATTTAATATGGTAAATCATAACCTACATTAAAAAAAACTAAAGTAAAACTTTACCATAAGAGCTAAAATTATATTACCTATACGTAGGAATCGAATGAGAGGTATTGAAACCGCTTGGATCCCTGGATTGGACCATGCTGGTATAGCAACACAGGTAGTCGTAGAAAAAAAGTTGTGGAAAGAGAAAAAACTAACGCGACACGATGTTGGTAGAGAGGAATTCGAAAAGTTGGTATGGAAGTGGAAAATTGAAAACGAAAACGTCATAAGTAACAAAATATCTTAAAAAAACATTATTTAATAATACAATGCAATAATTTTAGAAAAACAACTAAAACGCCTGAATGTTTCCCTGGATTGGGACAAAGAGACTTTCACGATGGACGAACCGAGAAGCGAAGCTGTAACCGAAGCTTTCATTCGACTTTTCGATGCCGGTTTAATCTACAGGGCCGATCATTTGGTCAATTGGTCGTGTGTTTTGCAATCTGCAATTTCGGATATCGAAGTCGAGCATCTCAACATTGCAGGACCCACTGACGTTTCAGTCCCTGGCTACGAGAAACCGGTCAAGTTTGGTCAGTTGACCAGTTTTTCATACAAATTCGAAGATTCCGGTAAGTTATTTTCAACAAACTGTCACCCATCAAGGTTTATTGTAATTTAATTTACGTAAAGTTAATAAAAATTAAAAAGTGCTTAAAAGGTTTTGAATTTTCTAGCAGGTATTCAAAAAGTATACATAGGCTATGTTGAATGGAAATCCATTAGCGTCAAACAAGATTACATCGATGCATTATTCACTGGGACGTGATGTTATTTTGGTCCAACTTGATTAAAATGCATTTATGAAGTATAAACGACAAATAAAATTAAAAGGCAGCTTAATTAATTTGTTTTTGTCGAGAAAATATTGCACCTTAAATAAGCTTCACTACCACGTCCTTTTTTAATATAATACAAACTATATAGAATAGAATAGATTTTATTTGTTCAAAGAAATTGCAATAAGTACCTACAATATAGAACACGTCATTAAAAAACTATAAACATACAAAAGAAGTCTTTACTAAAATAAAAAATCATTAACACGGTAATCACATCTGTTTACAAGATATGCTCTTAAGCTAAGGCAAAATTTTGAATACCCTTGTAGACAGTGTGGATTCTGGTCTGATTTATAAATGCAATATCTTTGTTTCTATAAGAGTATGAATGTTCTCTACTAGTGTTACTAAAAAGAGAATAATTTTAATTTTTTTGTAGAAAAGTAGCGTTTTAAATATATAAATATCTGGCAATGTAAGTAAATTGTTCTTTATAAATGTTATATGTATAATCATATATGATTCGTTGAATTTCAAATTAAAAATACACCTTACAATTCTTTTCTGAAAAACAAATAAATCCTTTGTATGAGATGAATTGCCCCAGAAAATTATGCCATATTTTAAATTAAATAGATAAAGGCTGCTCTTGGAACAATAAACCTTAAATTAAGTAATAAGTAATGATACTTGTTAATTCTTTTTAAAACATTGGCTGTTTGATCCTTCCATGAATTTTTTTTGTCCAAGATAACATCTAAGAATTTTACTGAAAGATTTAATTCAACAGAATATTTATTATTAATATTAATTATATTTTCGCAAACCCATACTTCAGAAGTTTATATACTGTGTCTTGTCCACATTTAACTTAAGGCCATTGTTTTGAAACCACTGAAATATATTTTATTGTGTTGAACAAATACTTTTTTTTAATCATTTATTGTATGAGATGTATAAATTGCATTAAAATGTTTTTAATAAATTGAGGCAAATCATAGAAATATAAAATAAAGAGGATATGACCAAGAATTGAGGAACTCCTTTTTTAAAAATCCACAGTATTAGAAGTAAACTCCAACCCATTATCTGATGCTACTTTAACTATTTGTTTACGGTTACTTAAACATGATGTAAATAAATTTGGCGCAGTGCCTCTTATACAGTGGCGGCTGGTGGATTTTGGGCACACCTATATCTCAGTTATTAGACATGGGACCCACATCAAATTTATATGAGTTTATAATGACATTATATAGACAAGTTTTGCGCAAGCAGAATTTAAATTAAAGTTTGCGAAAAAAAGTTAGTTTTTAAGTGCAACCCCCAGCCTCCTGCCCCTCCAAATTAAGATAATTCAAATTAAAGTGGTACAATATTTAATTTACTGAAGTTAATCGACAAATTTCAAATTTTATTAAAAAAATTCAAGAATTACAGGTTTTATACCATTTATAATTTTTATTATTTCTTTTACTAAATTTAAAAAAATTATAAATGGTATAAAACCTGTAATTCTTGAATTTTTTTAATAAAATTTGAAATTTGTCGATGAACTTCAGTGAATTAAATATTTTACCACTTTAATTTGAATTATCTTAATTTGGAGGGGCAGGAGGCTGGGGGTTGCATTTAAAAACTAACTTTTTTTCGCAAACTTTAATTTAAATTCTGCTTGCGCAGAACTTGTCTATATAATGTCATTATAAACTCATATATATTTGATGTGGGTCCCATGTCTAATAACTGAGATATGGGTGTGCCAAAATCCACCAGCCGCCACTGCTCTTATACCATATTTTTCTAATTTAATCTCTAAGAGATGCTTATCGATGGTATCAAAATCTTTGGATAGGTCAAAAAGGCTATAAACTATATATTGAACTGGCAATATTTAATTTGGTTAATCAAATTATGGGATTATGGAATAGTAAAACACTGGCAGTTTCTTATTATATATTTGCCATTTTATTATTACCAGCACAACTCAGTTTAATCCCCGAAGAGGGTATTTCCATTGTAACGGGTGCGACACTAAAACTGCGTTTTTTTATGATAATAAAGTGTTTGTTCATATATATCAAGATACGTTAATATAAAAAAATAGTATGAAAAATTTGGTATTTAACTCAAACAAAATTTCAATAAAAACTTGTAAAGAAAACCTTTTATAACGTCATGAATAGCGTAACGGGTGCGACCTTAGAAAATCGCCAAGTGCGACCAAGTTGGCTTCTAAAGTTGATACTCTAAAATTTTGGATGAAAGCATATATATGCTATACTATATAGTAATATTTAAATAGTAACCTTAAACCAGCACGTATTTTAAATGGACAAAAATTGCATACTTTATTTTCTAAAATTTTCTTAACAATGTACGAATATTTTAAGGTTATAAATTACGTCGCAATTAAACTTTTTGACTTCAGATATAGTTGTTATTTTGTTAAATAACACATCTGATTTTTTGTCAAGGTGGGGTAAGGTTTCGAGGAAATACCCAAATGAAAATGAAGATTCAGATTCGGATCTGGATCTACCATTAGCCATACTGATTTCATCCTTAACTTACTCCTTTCTAGCCAGCCTTTTTTACTCCTTTTATTGTTTTTTGTTTTTTATTAAAAATATTATTTTAGTTGTTGTTTTCTATTGGCTGTTGTAGTTTTTCAATTTTTTGTTTTTAGTTGCGAAATCAAAAATATATAATGTGTTTATATTCACAAACTTATATTTTTTACCTACATTTTACATTTCTATACATACTAGTAGTTACTAAAAAAACTTATTGTGACAGAAACTTTCATTGAATAGAATATAACTAAAATACAAATTTACATGTTTATAAAATTTTAAAATTATATTAGTTAAATTAAGTAATTTTGAATTTTAAACGTATAGGTATCTTTTATTCTCTGAAAATAGTTATAATAAAAAAATAAATACATATACAAATTTTGATATAAACTGCTCGTCATAAAAATCGACGCACCTAGTTTTTTGGAAAATATTTGAAAGCTCGTTATTGCAAAATTACTGAATCAATTTTGAAAATCTTTGGAAATTCTGAATACCTGATTCTTTGACTCTTATGTCTAATTTTGGGAATACCATATTTTGCACATCAAGAAATCAAATTTGCCCTAAAATGAATGGGGATTTAAAAAATAATTTTTATTTTGAAAAATAGCAGTGGCGTGCAATATATTTTTCCAAAAATATCTAGACCACATCCTGTACGGACGCCACTGGTAGAAAAATTAAAAATTTTATACATCAAAAACTTACTGTTAATGCTTAGAAGGCGTGTGCCAAATTTTATAAAAATATCTAGGAAGTTAATAAAGTTATAATAAAAAAACATTTTTTTTCTTAAAACTTTAACACCCTGTAACTCAAAGTTAAGAGGTTTAGGTCATAGGTTTATTTGAACTTTTTTTCTTAAAATCAACTAAGGATTCACATCCTTAAGGTTCAGCATCTTATTCTGAAACACCCTGTATAACAATTTTTCGAAAATTGTCGTTATTCTCCATTTAATTCCCAAAAATGAGCAAACTACGAAAGGTAGTTATCAACACATCGTTTCCCCAATTTGCATGTTCTTGTGCCCATCTTCTTCTAGCAGAAAAAAAGGGGAGGGAGCTCTTCGTCTTGCGTGGTATGCAATCTTACATCCGTCATTTTATTTTTTTTAATGTGTTTTGCTGTTTGAAAAATGTTTTCATATTCGACGACAAAAATGACAAGAATAATTGAAGGAAGGAAACTCAAAACCAGATATGCGCCATATTTTTTAAACTTTCATAGTCAACCGTTTGTAGAAAATTGTATGAATATAGCCTGCATAAGTTTACGAGAATATTTTTTTATGGTTTGCGTTTTTATTTTGAATTTTCGAAAAACTGCCATATAATCGTAGTTATCCAAGATATTATCCTGTTATTATAATAGGAAGGGGTATTATGACTATCAAGCTCAACTGCCTTGTGAATGGTGATTTGGAATTTTCGAAAAAACATCTCTTCTTTTTAACACCCTGTAGTATAATGCTATGTGCACAATATCGTATTCCCAAAATTAGACGTAAGTAAAAGAATTTACTAAATAGCAATATTTACTAAATAGCAAAATTTACTAAATAGCAATATTGCTCATTTTTTGGAAAACTGGGGAATAACGACAATTTTCGAAAAATTACTAAATAGCAATATTGCTCATTTTTTGGAAAACTGGGGAATAACGACAATTTTCGAAAAATTGGTATATAATCGTAGTTAGCCAAGAAATCCACAAAATCTCGAAAACGTCCCGAGGGATTACCCAACTGTTATTAGGAAGGGGTATTAGGACTATCAAGCCCAACTGCCCTGTGAATGGGGATTTGGATTTTTGAAAAAAAACATCTATTTTTTAACACCCTGTAGTATAATGCTATGTGCACAATATCGTATTCTCAAAATTAGACGTAAGTCAAAGAATCCACTATTGCTCATTTTTTGGACTAAACTGGGAAATAACGATATTTTCGATAAATTGGCATATAATCGTAGTAAGCCGCGATATTCACAAAATCTCGAAAACTAATATTAGGGAGGGGTATTACGATTATCAAACTCAACTGCCTCATGAATGGGAATAACTTGAATTTAGGAAAAAATACATCTCTTCGTTTAACACCCTGTAGTATGTGCAAAATATCGTATTCCCAAAATTAGACATAAGAGTCAAATAATCAGCTATTTAGAATTTGCAAAGATTTTCAAAATCGATTCAGTAATTTTCCAA